TGTGTGTGTGTCGTGTGTGTGTTTCGTGTGTGTGTCGTGTGTGTGTGTCGTGTGTGTGTCGTGTGTGTGTGTCGTGTGTGTCATTTGTGTGTGTCATGTGTGTGTGAGTCATGTGTGTGTGTGTGTGTCATTTGTGTGTGTCATGTGTGTGTGAGTCATGTGTGTGTGTCGTGAGTGTGTGTGTGTCATGTTTGTCATGTGTGTGTGTCATGTGTGTCATTTGTGTGTTAAATGTGTCATGTGTGTGTGTCATGTGTGTTTGTCATGTGTGTCGTGTCTGTGTGTCGTGTGTGTGTGTCGTGTGTGTTTGTCGTGTGTGTGTGTGTGTGTGTTTGTTGTGTGTGTGTCGTGTGTGTTTGTCGTGCGTGTGTGTGTCGTGTGTGTGTCGAGTGTGTGTGTGTGTCGTGTGTGTGTGTCGTGTGTGTGTGTGTGTGTCGTGTGTGTGTTTCGTGTGTGTGTCGAGTGTGTGTGTGTCGTGTGTGTGTGTCGTGTGTGTGTGTGTGTGTGTGTGTCGTGTGTGTGTTTCGTGTGTGTGTCGTGTGTGTGTCGTGTGTGTGTGTCGTGTATGTATATCGTGTGTGTGTGTGTCGTGTGTGTGTGTCGTGTGTGTGTGTCATGTGTGTGTGTGTCTATTTGTCTGTGTATCTGTCTGTCTATCTGTGTGTCTGTGCGTGTGTGTGTGTGTGTGTGTGTGTGTCTATGTGTATGTGTCTGTGTGTGTGTCTGTGTATCTGTGTGTGTGTGTGTGTGTGGGTGTGTCTGTGTGTGTGTCTGTGTATCTGTGTGTGTGTGGGTGTGTGTCTGTGGGTGTGTGTCTGTGTGTGTGTGTCTGTGTCTGTGTGTGTCTGTGTCTGTGTGTCATGTGTGTGTGTCGTGTGTGTGTGTCGTGTGTGTTTGTCGTGTGTGTGTGTGTGTGTGTTGTGTGTGTGTGTGTCGTGTGTGTGTCGTGTGTGTGTGTCGTGTGTGTCGTGTGTGTGTGTGTTATGAGTATCATGTGTGTCATGTGTGCCATTTATGTCATGTGTGTGTGTCATGTGTCATGTTTGTCATGTGTGTGTGTCATTTGTGTGCTATGTGTGTCATTTGTGTGTGCCATGTGTGTCGTGTGTGTGTGTTGTGTGTGTGTCGTGTGTGTCATGTGAGTGAGTCATGTGGGTCATGTGTGTGTGTGTCATGTGTGTCGTGTGTGTGTGTGTGTGTCATGTATGTGTGTGTGTGTATGTGTGTGTCTGTCGTGTGTGTGTGTCGTGTGTGTCATGTGTGTGTGTCATGTGTGTGTGTGTCATTTGTGTGTGTGCCATCTGTGTGTGTGTCATGTGTGTGTGTGTCATGTGTGTGTGTCGTGTGTGTGTGTCATGTGTGTGTGTCATGTGTGTCATGTGTGTGTGTGTCATGTGTGTGTGTCATGTTTGTCATGTGTGTGTGTCACGTGTGTCATTCGTGTTTTATATGTGTCATGTGTGTGTGTCATGTGTGTCATTTGTGTGTTATATGTATCATGTGTGTGTGTCATGTGTGTTTGTCATGTGTGTCGTGTCTGTGTGTCGTGTGTGTGTGTCGTGTGTGTGTCGTGTGTGTTTGTCGTGTGTGTGTGTGTGTGTGTGTGTTGTGTGTGTGTGTCGTGTGTGTGTGTCGTGTGTGTGTGTCGTGTCTGTGTGTCGTGTGTGTGTGTCGTATGTGTGTCGTGTGTGTGTATCGTGTGTGTGTGTGGGTGTGTCTGTGTGTGTGTCTGTGTATCTGTGTGTGTGTGTGGGTGTGTCTGTGTGTGTGTCTGTGTCTGTGTGTGTCTGTGTCTGTGTGTGTCTGTTTCTGTGTGTGTCTGTGTCTGTGTGTGTCTGTGTCTGTGTGTGTCTGTGTGACTGTGTGCGTGTGTGTGTCTGTGTGTCTGTGAGCGTGTCTGTGTGCGTGTGTGTGCGTGTGTGTGCGTATGCATGCGTGCTTATGTGTGCGCATACGTGCGTGTAAAGTAAGAGTATTAAGAATAGGAGTACAAGTTATCGTCATATAAATCGTGATTTGATCTTAAAAGCATTACATTTTGTAATAAATGACCGTCCATGTTACTTCTTAAAGAAGATAAAATAAAGGGTAACCAAATGGGTCCCTGATTACAAAGTAGTGACATTACGTGACATAAACTTCTTATTCAAAACTTCATATTCGTGGATTAATATGAAGCGAAGAATAATATGATAAAAGTGAAACTCAAAGTGTGGACCAAATATAATGCAACAAATGGAAACGCAGCTAACTTTAGTTTTTACGTTCTTTAATGAAGATGTTTTGATTACTTTCTTTCACGTAATTAAAAACCCATCAGATAAGCTTCGGAGTTCTTTCGGCTATTAAATAAATTAAATGATGTTACAGCTAATGATGAATAATTATCTCAAGCTCGCCTTTAGTCCCAGAGCTATACTCGTATGCACGCAGATTGAAATTTTATTAGAACAAATCCTATTATTGTATTCAGCGTTTAATAGATTTATGTATCCGATAACGTTATCGAATACATAAATAATAAATATATGTTGGGACATTAACACACACCACCATCTAGTTCCATGATAAGCTACGAGGCCTGTGTTATGGATACCAGATAGTTGATACACTACATATATAACTTTAAATACATACATATTATAAATATAAACACCCATGGCTGGAGTACAAACATTCGTGCTCATCACACAAATGAATGCACCCAGCGGGTTTCGAACCCGCGACCGCTGGCACAGCAAGCAGGGTTACTACAAACTGAGCCAAACGTGTTGTCGAAATAATGATAACTTGTTTTGTAACAATATATTGTTGTAGGGAGAAACGCGCATTCGCTAGCAAATGTAGAGCTCGTAAATAGCAGAGGCGCAGATTTGAAAAACAAATCCTAGTTCTGCTTATCGGTATATAAAAAGGGGTACGTGCATCGTTTCCCAGGACGGCGCGGCGGCCCCGGGCCTGCGCTCGGCGTCGTCACATTCATACATTTTCATAACCGCGTAGTTACCGGGTTTAAAAAACTCGGCGACGCATCGCGACCCGGCGATATAATTGCTGCATTTCCCACTCCCCGAGATGCTTCATAGAAATCGTATCAATGACATTTTTATACTCCCATTGAGTTAAAGTAATAAGCCACGCCAGAATGCGATCCGTATTTAATAACATATTCATGTGCATTGTATCAGATTGCCGTTTCTGTAAGCGCTAGTGTCGATAGAAATTGTCACAAATATGAATTATCATAAATTAAACCGACGCGACGCAACGCGGGCAATACACCATATAATACAGTTTCGTGAAATATTTGGCATAAGTAGACATAGATCGTAATTACAGACTTATCTATAGTACATATAATAAAATTGTAACTAAGCCGAATCTGTAGATTAAATATTTTTTTGGAAAATCTTATTGAAATAAGCATTATTATCGATACACAGTCCGAATCTATAGTTTTCTTCTTCTTTTTACCGCGGAAAAATGTCTCATTTTTGAGAAAAAATACAAAAACTGCAATGTAAGAGTACTCTAATATGTGGAACCTAAGAATTTGGTTTTTGGTCATCTGAACGCGGGCGGAGTCGCGGGTAATGTTAGTTTCAATATATAAATACAATGTTACTACTTTCACACTTATTGTTTTATGAACATAATAATAATTCATTTGCATATTAATTAATGCTATAGAGACATCGGATAGTTCCAGAGACCTCAAAGATAGCACCCAAAATGTATGCCTTCTATTATATTGCACGCTTGCAACGGGCATTGAGGCAAATATGCACCATGATCGGTGAGGTTACAATGCGAGATTCTTCTGAGACATTCATATCATATACCTATTTGAAAAGGCGAGTCTAATTCTGGTACTGGACTTATAAATAATAAGTAAATAAATTATTGTTACGAAAGGTGCGTACTGCGTAGGCACGAGTACATTACACTGAGTGTGTATTTAAAGAAATCTATAGCTCTCGTTAAAATGTAAAGGTCTAAAATTAGTTTTATAAGCGGCTTAATAATATATTGGTGTACATAAATATTTGAAAGAATTTAAAATTCAATCAAATAAAGCCAAAATGGTGCAAATTGTGATATTAATGATAAAAACGTTAATTTATGTAATCAGTCCGTTACGACTACATAAGACTCGTACAACGAATAATTTGAACGTATTTTCATATAAATGAGAAGTAATAAAATAATAAATAGCACTTAATGCTAAGACGCTTTTTACAACGGCGGCGATCCCATTCCGATGAACAACCCGCCTAACTACATTTGCTACTTTTTTAGCGTCTGTCAATCATATCTATTGGGAGGTGGCGCCGGCGCACGTTGCCACGTACGCGCCGAGTTATTGCGCCGTAATGCTTGGCCCTGATTCCAGCGGGATCGATGATCGCCGGCGCCTCGGTGAGAACCTCTCTATGACACTTCCTACACTCACTCGTGTATCCCATCACTCGTCCCATTACCTGTATAAGGCCCGGCGCTAGGAACCTCCGAGTACGCTGTTACTTTTATACTTTATTAGAAAAGCATGTCCTGGTTTTTTTAATAAAAATATGTCATGGGATATTATGTGTAATAGTGTATTTTGCTTCGGTATTTTATTCAACTTGTACATTTTGTATTACAGAACCATTGTTGAAGTAATGTAGAATATATTACGACGCGTATTACGAAGTGTGTTCTAATCAACATTCGGCTAATAAATTGTGTGTGTATAAAACGTGTTTCTTTTATTTATAACAACCTTTCACTCGCGCAATTAAAAGCCATATTGGAATTGCCGTTTTTGCAACAGAATCGATATATAATCGTTTGAAACCCACCTCATACGCTGACATGCGCGGGTTCAGAGAGCGAACCGAAGAAAAACTTGACGTATGGTAATCGTGTTGCATTCATATCGACGTCGCATAAGGCAGTGCTAAACGGCCTGCTTACATTACGGATTTACATATTTGTCACGCAAATGGTATCGTGACCTCATGGTCGATGATAACAATAGTGTTCCCACACCATTGCCGGTGACGCTCGAGCGCGGTGTGTGTGGTCGCATGGCGAGCGCGCAATGCACGGGCGGCGTGTGGCGACGACGCGGGCGCGCGGGCCCCGGCCGGTTCCCACGGCACACTTGTCCTTATCGCGGGCTCGAGCAATTAATCCGCGCGCTATAATGAGCTCGGATTATGCGACGTCCACTCAATAAATATTCTAAATGCTGCTTTATCTACCATATTTAGTCGGCTACGACTGTAAAATATGTATTTGTTTACTAAATTAACTTGCAACCTCCGGTGTTACGTCGAAACGGGTCAGAACAAAGAAAAAAATGACCAAAACAACTATAATTATGTTGTCGCAACTTAACTAATCATTAATTCATACTTTTTATGCGTTGGGTTTAGTAAGATTGGAGAAATAGTATGACAGTGAAAACATAATATGTACCTATTACAATATGCCTAAACATTTTCCTTTGTACTTTTAAAGGGATATGGAGGGGAATATATTTATTTATTTATTGATAATATACAAATTATGTAATATAAAAAAACTAAATGAAGATTTCAAAAAGAATATACATAGGTATAATTAATAAAAAAATATAATTCAATTTTTACTTACAGATTTTAATCTTATAAATGCAGATGCGCATGTGTAGAAATAAATATGGCAAAGATTGTGTAAATATAACATAATATATAACATAATGAAATTTAAATTGTGTCATGCCAGTTAGTTGTTGAGAAGTAATAACATTGCTAATAATAGGTTGGCAAACTATACATTAACATAATAAGGGTTACGTCAAACAATTTTGTAATACAGTAATTACTTGGTTGCATGTCACTTCAGACGGACGTTTCTACGAGAAATATATGCGCTATGTTATGCCTATATTTATCCATCAGTGGCTGATAGGTTGACAGTTTGACTCTATACATTGGTTTAAGCGCTTGTACAAAAAATGCCTCTCGCCGGTATGGGAGCGGGCATCGGAAGACATGGTCTACGTTTACATTCATTAATAGTAAAATAGTTTATGTTAAATGTCATTATGATTTACCACAAGCAATATTCCAGCAGCTGGGAAAGAGCCTCTAAAACTATTGTGTCGTACAGGAGCTGTCTGCTTTCATCGAATGTCAAGTATCACTAAATTTTTCCATAGCATAAATATAATTTTCTGGTTATTTCTTATTCCTAAAACAATTGTTCAAGCAGAAGCTTCGTCTGCTTCGTAGCGAAGTATGGACAATTTTTTGTGGCAAAATATCATGAGGCTCGAGTCCATTGTTTGCAAAATTTATATTTATTTGATGGGTTACACGTTGCGAAACTGAAGAATACACAAAAAAATCACAGATTGTTGTAAGTTTACACACTCGAGTCCGTTGCTCCTATACAATAATGAATAGTCTCTACTAAGAGTTATAAATATTAAACTCAATTCTGTTTAATATTTGTGTTTCTTCCGACGGCAAAAAGCCTCATCATCGCTGCCGTTTAAATATTAGCAGAGTTTCAAACCCATTGTACGTTGTAGTGTGGAGGAGCGCAGCGCGGACGATACACGTTCGACAGCCAGCGGAAGTGCGTATTAGTTTCGAAAACTGAACTAGGAATATTATTGAAGGAATTATGACAAAGAACTAAAAAGGCGACGAGGTAGCAACGAGGAAAGTACTTCCTTCTCACGTAATCGTATTTAATATCAAAACATCTCATAATGATAATATCAAATATACTTTTCAACCGACTTCAAAAAGGAGGAGGTTCTCAATTCGACTGTATTTTTTTTATGTTTGTTACCTCAGAACTCCGTCATTTATTAACCGATTTGGACAATTTTTATGTTGTTTGAAAGTGTATACTTCCAGATTGGTCCCATTGAAAAATAGCTAATGATGAATTTAACCTACTTCTAATTGTCATATTGACTTGAAACTTTGCAAGTGTTTCTATTTCCGTTGATAGTACAGTAGTTCGGTATTGTTGACCTGATCTGATGGTAAGGCCAGAAGGTGGATAGGTGGAACTCTTCAACGGCTAATAGTAGATACTTTGAGTTTGGGCTTATTTTGTTTGATTTGACAAGACGTTAGAATTCTTACTTTGCTACTACTGTCTACACTAAAAAGGGAAAAATAAAAACTTTTTAACAAAAAAATAAAAACCGACTTCAAACAAAAGCACTAAAAAGTAAAAAATAACTGATTGGTAGTTTTCATTTACTATACATACCTAATCAAATATTTTCGAAGTCGGTGTGCTTTGGCTAAGGAATTAAAGCCTACCTATTAAATACATACCTAATCAAATATTTTCGAAATCGGTGCCAGCCCATACAAAGCAAAGCACACCGACTTCGAAAATATTTGATTAGGTATGTACTCGTATAGTAAATGAAAACTACCAATTAGTTATTTTTTACTTTTTAGTGCTTTTGTTTGAAGTAGGTTTTTATTTTTTTGTTAAAAAGTTTTTATTTTAATTTACAACTGAAGTCTGAAGCACCTTTTGGTTTTTTCGGTTAAGTTGTAAACAAGTATGTATACCTACTGAATAAATACTAAGTCTTAATTATATTACTTAGTTTTAAAGATTTTAATAAATTTTGTTAAATTATTTTAATCTCAAATTCATTCGTAGTTGATTAATGAGCTGTAAGCATGCGAGTCGCGCCGCGATAGCACTGGCTAGCTGTCTAAGTAGATAGAATGATCACAAATTTTACACTTTGAAATGGCGTTGCAAATATTTTTAACAATTTTTTTGTTTATATTTCTCACTGACTTTTCATAGTTTTGGTAATATATATATATATATATATATATATATATATATATATATATATATATATATATATATATATATATATATATATATATATATATATATATATATATATATATATATATATATATATATATATATTACCAAAACTATGAAAAGTCAGTGAGAAATATAAACAAAAAAATTGTTAAAAATATTTGTATATATATATATATATATATATATAATTAGTATTTTGGAGATCAGTAGCTTCAGGTACATACATACGTAATAGTTATAGTTATTATTATATGTGCAATGTTACAGTTCAACTAGTATGCTCTTGCATATGCATGGAAGGAAACTGTTGATAAAACCATCATATATCAATACGTTTTATATTATTTTGAAAAGTTAAAAAATTACAGTAGAGTTTAGTTCGCTTAAAGCCGATTCAACGCAACTTACATGTTTTAGTTTAGTATAAATTTCCAAATAGGCTGTAAGTTTTCAGTTGTATAAAGGCTTCGTAGCTTTTCTTAAAACTCCTTTAAAGGTGGGGGTTATTTGTTAAAATTGCATTGTGGCCCAGGGTTGGGCGGGGAGGGCGGCTTCGAGGGAGGCTTCGCGAGGGTCTGGGCGGGGGTAGGTCGGGCACCTGCCGCAATATCCTATTTATGAATAATGTTTTATTCTAACAGCGTGCGATCTCACCGAACTACCTCACCTCCCTCCGCCCTCCCAACCACCCCGCCCTCGCCCAATGCCTACCCTCTAGGGCTGACTTCGGACCTATTTGCATAGATTTATTTTAATGGTTTACAATATATAATTATTTAAACAATAATGTTTTTGAAAGTATTTATAGAGCTTACAACTAAAATTAAAACGACAATATAGAAAAAAAATATAAGTTTATAAATCAAGAAATGAAATACTTATTAGTTAGCTGGCGACGTAACTTACGACATTGCCTCTAAGACTTGAGGACCATATAAACGCGTGTCATAGCACTGATTGTGTGCAATAAAACATGAGTTACAGCTTCCGGACAGTTATAATTGCCGATGGCGGGCGGATATGTTTTATCGGGCAACTTTCGCCTCCCATTCAGGGGTAACTCTTTTCATAAATCCGCATTCCTAGCGGCAGCCCTGCGCGCCGCGTTTGTTTGTGTCGTACTCGTACAGCGTAGAGATACCAGTAAGTTAGACTTAAGTAGCTATAAAATATTGGAATGAGGTGACGTTTTTCCGCTACTATGAACAATAAGCGAATAATATTTGACATTTTAAACTATGTTTTCGATTTTTTTCTTGGATTTATGTGATGTTTGATTCCCATTGTTTCTCGAATGCTTAATCACAGTCATGGTGAATGGTTATGGGAGAGACTGTGACCATGATGCTGAAAAGCAATCCGAAAAAAATATTAATATTAAACTTTACCTAATGAGACTATGAATCAGAATGTAGTGGTTAAGTCTTTTTATAATAATTTAACTGGTCGTCATTAGCGGTTACGTTACAATTACGAACACTTTCTTTTTGAAAAAAAGTTATAACTGTATTTTTATTAGTTTATTTATAACTTTATTCCTTTATTGCTGTAAATTAGCATAAGACAAATGTCTGCTAGACTGTGGGTCTGTCTGTGGTGGGCGCGGGCGGGAGTCGTCGCGGGACATAGTTAATTAATAGAATAACTGAAACAGTTCGCTGTACGGAGCCAGTCCCTCACCGCTAGTTCACCCCCCGCGTCGCTGTTCACTATCTAAAGCATACATATTATGCAAATATGTTAAAGTATACATTAGTACCTGCCCAAACATAGTATATAGTAACATTGTTGTTTACTGGCCTACACCTGTAGGCTGCACACTAGGTGTTTTTTAAATAAAATATTCATATTCAGTTCCCGTTACAGAACACAATTTTTATTGCTGTAATTACAACACATATTCATTCGTATGTTATAATTGTTTTAATACAAAACTTATTATATTTTATAGCTTTTAAAAGCTTACGAAGCGCGAAATTATGCCGAGACAGCGTCCAGCTCAGGCGGATCTGGTCGTAAAACTTAGCGGCTATAAATCGTTGAACAGTCGATAACTTGATGCATTAACCAGCTAATTAATAAATGAGTTATTCTATATGAATTCTTAGTTAGCATTCTCGCGGCACGTCCGCCATCCCGCCATCCCGCCGGCACGCCAGCCCGCCGGCACGCCAGCCCGCCAGCCCGCCAGCCCGCAGACCTACAAGCTCGCAAGACTACTCGTCCGTGTGCATTATTAAAATAAATTAAACGAATAACACACGCACTGTTACAGCTGTAATTAAATATTTTTCCAGTGGATTCTTAGAATATGGCTTTTTCTTTCGAAACATGTTCGGTCGAAGTTACACGCATTGGTGCGCTTTTTGCGTTTGAATTTAAAAGCGAACATATAGTATGCACATACTTTAGCTAAATGGAGCAAGTTTTCTCACGATTCGTTTGCGCTCTGCACCTTACATTATTATGATTTAGTGGAGTTGCAGCGCTGCAGATCCCCCCCGGGAGAATGCAGGTGGTCGCGGGTCGCGGGGGTTGCCCGGCCACGCGAGGGAGGGGGGGGGGCGGGGGGGGCAGTGCTAGGAACGGGCCGGTGGGGGCGAAAGTCAGCGATGGTAGTAATAAAGCCGGCCATATTTCACACTTAGCGCGTAATGAGCGCGCGCCCAAATAATTGGATCACGTACATAACTCATTATTACCTCGCACCTCACTTCGTGCGAATGTATCATTACTTGACCTGCACCCCCCCCCCCGCCCCCCGCATCCCCGCACACCCAGCGACCTCCCGCAGACGTCTCGCAAGCACAATAGAAGTTTGTTAAGGCTCGAGATGTCGTTGCCATTATGTAGATACTTGTAGATGCAGCTCTCGTGGAGGCTATCAACGACGTAACTTTATCAATTACGTCTGACAGCTCCGGCAATAGACACTAACTTGAGACACGAATTACTTATTAGATTCGTCAAGCTTGCTAAGATATTAATGAAAGCTTCTAAGTCTTCAATTTCGCATAGTTATAGAAGTATGGATTTAGATAATTCAAAAAGTCATGACTTGTCTCCTGAAAGATTATCGTGATTACTTAAATAATAAACAAACACTAAACAGCAATGTGCATTGTGCATCGAGGCTGTCTAGACTAGTAGACTAGTGGGCCGTGAAATATAATTTTATATACAAAACAGATACTACATCCAGGTCGAGAAAAATACCCGTACGAAAAAAATTTGTGTAGTGCAGGACTCGAATTCGTAAAAGGCACGAAACAACAGAATTCTTACCTAAAATTACCAATGTGAAAGTTTATTTTTTTGGATTTCTACTTCGTCCTTCGACGTGATGTTACATAGAGTCTTTATTGGCCAGAGAGTGACATAGGCTACTCTATCACACAAGCGTGTGGTTTTCCGGGAATATTTGTTTAAAAACTACACTAGTGACAAACAAACTAAAATTACATTTCATAAAATTAAATATAAAAATTGTCAAAACGAGCTATCACCGGCGCTGAGTGCGGCTGAGCGACCGCGCCTGGAGCACGCGATGTTATTCAACTTTAGCATTTAGCCGACCGTTAGCATACTCATGTCTATAATTTCACCCTTTCTTTCTATGAATATGGAGATGGAAGAAAGTTCTCTCGACTGAAAAACTCGATGCTACTGTAATTGGCAGGCGTGGTGTTTTTGTTGTACAATAGTTGTGGTCGTGTCCGTGTCGATGTTATAAGGTAACTATATCACCTTTTAATTGAAACTTTTTTTTTTTTTTGTATTTCACATACAAAGGTTTAACAAAGTCTTTTATTATCATTTACATATCTCTATAACAAAAATAATTAAGAACTTATGTACATATACTTTTATGTAATTGTAACATTACGAGTGCATGCACCTAATTAATATGTGATTATTAATAATTCATTTTGAATGTTTAGCGTTACTATTATTAGAATGTTCACTATTATTATGTACCTACTTAAAATGACAACCTAATCTTATTGTAAAATAAAAACTTATTCGTTTTAACTTTAGGTCAAATAAATTTCTTATATCGATGGAAAATAGTAGTGCGTGGACATGCCTAGTTCAGTTCCGGTCGGTGCGCGCACGCATACGCTTCCATTTAACACTTATATTTGCTTAAAATATTTGCAATTTCGTTTGACCATAGCTCTTGTTGTAGCAGGACTGTCCGCTTTATGTTACACTTACCATCAAAATACTGTGTCTCTGCTTTTCTACCTTTGATTTATCAAAGAGATAGCCTGCTTCGTGAATTTTTTGCATAGATATAATATTAAATCTAAGATAGGTATTTAAAATTTAAATAAAAATAGACTTTTAGAAAATTAATTTAAAATCTCATATTAATATTACAGGAACACTCCTATTATTATTGATATAAAGTTTGTGAAGATGTTTGGATATAAGACACGTTAAACGGATTTAAATGAAAATATGCATACATGTAGATCATGTTCTAGTGCATACTGCGTTCCCTGAGAGAGTGGGTAATTTTAGTTATGATAATAAACTTATGAAGACATGGCGCAATCAAAGACCGTTGAAATTAAATATATAGGTCCTGACTGAAAACACTAACAACGTAGTCGCTGCATCGTTGCACATCCACATTTAGGAAATAAATCATTAGTCAGTGCTACGAATTTTATAATGTTTATTTTTAGTCCATATAGATAATAAATCTACAAACTCTACACATTCGGCACGCTGACTGCACTTGATTTCCATTTATTGTTAACAATTTATGGGCATGGAGATAAGGCAAAATAATAAAAGAGGATGTTCGCTCGTGGCTGTGCTCCTTGAATTAGCTAACAACAACGTTCACTTACTCCGAACGGTCCCGTTATATCGCAACTATTAAGATTCCTTGCTAAAAATGAACATAATAACTATTTTTATGGTCTTTCGAGCGGTGAATGGTGAAAGTTGCGGGGAATGCCCTGTATAGACGCCACAAAAACGAACAGGCGGACAGTTAGTGACGGTTCACAGCACGCTTCCCTCGCTACGTCCCAAATACATGCACAAAAAAGTTTGCACTTATTATGATAAACAATAGAAAGGTTATGAATGTGACGGCCGTCGAGTCGTCAGTGCCGTTTTGGTATCTTTAGATTAATACAAAATATTTTATTTAGCTCCAGCTTGTAAATATGATAGGAAAATAAACTATTAGATACAAATATAAGTCACAGGTAAGTTATGACCAGTGGATGTCTATACATATAAAATTACTTGTTCTGATTGATTCATCGACGCAGACCCTAAATCACAGGGATTAAAAACTTTAAAATTGCCAGTTCACGCATTTTATGATGTAAACATCCACTAAGGAAGAATTTTAGGAAATTCCAGCCCTAAAGGGATAAAATAGGGGATGGACTCTGCCATTCTTACTGTGAAATGCACGGAAAGTTGTATTTCCTTTGAGTAACATTTGATAACTTCAATATTTAAAGTACTTTTCTTCCATTTCCCATCGATTTGTTCAAAGTATTTTTTTTTATGGCGCTATGCGTACTTTTTAATCATGAGGTTGAAAAAGTTAGCATAGTGTTTCTTTTTTTAATTTTATAATAAAATAAAACCTATACTAACTTTTTTATGACTTTTAATTTTAGCTGGACTAAAATTAAATAAATAATATTGCTATATTTAATTATGATACTTTTTTTTTTAAATGGTTAGAAATAAAAGTCATCAACATATCTTAAGGTTTTAAAAATCCAAATAAGTTTTCTAATTCTGCTTGATAGTAGTTCCAGATGGGAGTGCCAAGATTATCTTTGATCAATAACTATGCCTAAATACTTGATTGAATCTATTTTATCAATGCTAGGACAACAAAATGCGTGGTGTATTTGTAGTTTTGATGATGTAAGCTGAGTTTTTTTATTTATTGAGAAACATATATAATTTGATTTATTTGTGTTTAGTGTCAGAACGTTAGATTTAAGCCAACTAGATATTTTTCTTAAGCCTATTTCTGCGGTACTATGAACTTCCCATGTTTTGCCATGAAAAAATATAGCAGTGTCATCTGCATATGAATAAATATGGCCATTTTCTATTTCGAAGTTACATAAGTCATTTATATTTATATTAAGAACAAGGTAGGTCCTAAGACACTCCCCCCCCCCCAACGTGCATTCACCTTGTCGTGGTGGGTGGGGGGGTTCAGTAGTGCCCGGCAATGCAGCCGGGCGCAAAGCCAAGAAACGCACAGGGAGGTGGCCCGCTTCGGTGGGTGGTGTACCATGCGGGTTGCTCCTGGTACTTCTCTGATAGCAGAGTGGACCTTGGAGCAACCCCGTGGTTGTTGTGGTCTGCTTCGGCAGACCTGCCGTTGGGGCGTCGTAGTTGAATGCGTAAGCGATCCTGCGACGGCCCATTAACATGGAGGAAGGTTTTGTTGGGTTTTAGTGGGTAGTACTGGCTTTGCCGGTGAGACCCACACCTCGTGCGTAAATGCATTTCCCAACGATAAAAAAAAAGGTCCTAAGACACTACCGTGTGGAACACCGAAGGTCATGTTGAGGTAATTGCTTGTATAGTCTCTTATTTTTACTCGCTGATTCATTAGGTTAAGCTGATCAATGGATTAAATTTTATATTTAAATAGTGTTTGCTTTTTAAGTTTATCTATATAGGTTTCTTTCTGAAAAAAGCGATTGTTTTATCTATTTTTAAAAACGCCGAGTGAAGCTCGGTCATCTGGTACTGGTAATATAAACAACGCATTATTATGTGTTTGATTTCTGTAGGTACATCTGATGGTACATACACAATCATATATTTTGATAAAAGGGAGAATTTTAATTAATGCCACATTCTTCTTTATAATTTTAATTTAATATTTCTAAAATTAAACAAATCATCATAAATTATATTTTGTCTTTTTAGATTTCTAGGACTTGGTCCTTCGTCGGGAATGACGGTCTATAATAATCAGCGCAGCTCACTTATCCCCCATTAGGCCATCTTTCGAAAGTGATAATAATATACAAATTACACTAATTTCGTGTTGCGTGACCGACTCCGGTGTCCTTTAAGCTGACCACGTGACGTCCCTCGACAGCTGTTCACATTATTCCTTAGTTTAGACCTTATGTAGAAGGCAACAGAGAGCTGTGCACGCTCAATTAGCCGGTCGATGTATCGTCGATTCGATTAGCGATATCGAGATATCACGCTTGATTCATTCGAGAAACAAAACGGTGTAAATAACTCGAATTAATTTAGGTGTCGTTTTGCTTATCTTTATATGTTGAAAGTGCGTGACTCTCGACATGTCCGCACGTCTGCCTCCCCCATCGAGCCTCAGTGCGCTGTGTTGGTAATGAAATATTTTTATTAATTATCTATTGGAGAATGCTCTGTAACTGTTGTACTTTCTATTTTGTTGAAGTACATTTGCTTTGTTATTTCAATTTTAAAATGATCCTTGCCCGTTGTGCAGTGAGATCGGATCACGGCTGGGAGTTATACATTTTTAAGAAATTTTTCTAAAATTCAGAGAGATAAAGGCAGTTTTCTAGTATCTAGTAAATAAATATTAAACGATATCGTGAGCTTTTATGTTTTTACATAATATAAACTATTCGAAAATTATATATTAGTAAATCACGAGAAGTACACTTCTTATTCGGTACTCAATTTATCAGAATTAATGGTGGATTGGGATAAATGAGTACATATCTGTCTGTCACCAGTGAGCAAGGTAATGGCTACCTAATAGTTTTGATTAACTGAAAGTTAGAACAGCTGTTTAGCTTAGTTGCAATATATACATAATATATACTACGCTCGCATAGGTCGGTAGGTACTCTGAAAATAAATTGATGGTCGTTGCAATAGAAAGTTTAAAAATACTTACCTATGATATATTTAAAAACACTTCATAATTTTTATCTAATATTTGATCTTGTCTAATTTAATGACCGGTGCAATATTTCCTAGTGCTTGCTCTGCGGCTGCCCGCGCGGCCGCTCCATAAGTCAGGGTATCGCAGCATCAACACGGCCCGAGTCGTGACGCAACGATACACATATTTTTATTTAATTATGATATTATTTATATCGATCATGAGTACCATCAATTCTGGGATCTTTAGCGGTATTAAGTATTATAAGAAAAAAAAATAATATCAAAAGACTACAAGACCATCCGTAGTTAACGCAACTTTGAAAAAACAATAATGTCAACTATGGAATACAATAAGAAATTTGATGGTTTGTAATACAATTTAGATATCAGATTAAAGTATTAAATTTCTTATAAACAAGATTTCTCTGAGACAAGGAGCGGTTCCACGCTGCCGATCGAATGGCATGTAACTAAAGGCGCAGCAGCTAACAACGCTGAACAATGATATGTTCAATTCGGGAAATACTTATAACGGGCCCAGTTTTTGCTATCTGTAGCGCTCGAATCATAACAAAGGGGCAGTGGATGTGTGTTGTTGTCCAGGCGAGGCTCAAGGCCTCTGACCAGTGGCACGAGTACGTGGTCGAGCTGACCTGCACGCGGGAGCATCGGCGAGTTGGCGAGCGGACGCGGTTTGAGAGAAGCATCTCAGATAATCTGTTGAATTTTCCATGCCGTATCTCCGTGGACATTGTCGAGCGCAAAAAGCGGCCGGCGGCGAATCCCTTCTTCGTTACATAATCAGACGCTCTCACGGCCCTAATATGGCGCTTTTCTCTCATCCTGTACGTTTTTGTAGTGCTTTCGTTAAATTTTGGTTTTTATATCCAATATAATTACATTTTTATACGAATTCTATTTATAGTAGGAAGTAAGAATTATAGTAATTGTGAAATAAAATAGACACCGTTAAAATATTGTTTATGTAACTTAGTAACTAAAAGGATAGCACTTATAAAATTACTATAAATTAAGTAGGCACTTTTAAGCTTTGAATTTTTAACTAGGTTTTGAGTTTGGAAATATGTAATACAAAATATAGGTTTATGTCTAGGATAAATCGTTTATAAAATATATGTGTGAATTCTAAGTAAATGTAAATAGATACCTATAGTTTTATATACCTACTCCACGGCAAAATTAGCAGGCATCAATGTATTTATTCAAGATTTTAATATTTAATACTTTCGTAATGACTCGCTAGTCACATCACATCTATATAGTAGCTTGCTCCCGCCTCGTCGGTGCCGTGATTTAGCAGCATATTACTCGTCCGGCACAAAAAGTGGCCCATTCATATGCACAGGGAGGAGAGCGGTCAGTTTTTGCGTCGCCGGACGTTCCCCGCGTTTTATTTGTAAATTGGGCGCGCGGGCGGGTGTGGGACGCGCGGGCGACTGCGGCGTAACGAGGCTCTGCACTCTGCAGTCCGGCTCATTCACATGCGCGACTACTTTTTGCCGCACCGCATAATTGAATAGGAATGGCGGGCTCGGATCTAATGCGACCAGATGAGTCGTAATGAGCTCCGCGTTATCTCGCATACACACAGCCTCCTCTCAGGATGCGCGTCCAACGCTAGGATTAATTATTTCCATGGATTAATTAACGTTTATAAGACTGCTTGTTAGTTTACGAGGTTACACTCGGTCTCACAACTTGTGATGTATCACTGCTCTAGGTACTATATTATTTTCTTGAGTCGTTATGACCTCATCTCATTTAAAAGGACATTCAAAATAGGTGACTCAAACATTAGCATTTTGTATTACGTTTCCACTGTTAGTACGTAGATATGTTTGTTGTATAACCCAAATTATTACTGTATGACACGAAGATTTCATTGCAAGTGTGAAGTCGTTTGTCTCCTGGAACAACGCCAGCGCTTTTTGTTGGCGTCTTAGAAATGTTGCAGCTGTTTCTCGTGGACGAGCTACGTACGAGCTGCACGGGCTCATTTATTTATTAGATAATACTAACTTATAAGTATGTACATCTAATACAACTTTCAATATTTTTTTTGGAATGATATGAGATAAATTTTTTTTAGGGAGCCAAAAGACAAACGGTACTCTTATGTATGTATACTTTGTCATGACCATCTGTCCGTAAGTTACAGTCATTTTATTCGGACACCGATGGACTTATATTTCTAAAATTTGGAAGACAATTCCGCCGGCAAATTATGAAAAACAAAAAAATAGGAAATTGAAAATTATTGTAGATAAATTCACATCTATCCAACTAAGGGCTAAGAAATGATTTTGAGTCCATAAAAGCTTAAACACATAGTACAAAGCAAAGTGGCTGTTTTTGTCTGTCTGCTTCTCCGCTAACTCCTAAACCACGCAACAGATTTTAATAAGGTTTTACTATCATTTAGATAATTTCTGCCGGAAGTTGTATATACATAATATATACATATTATAGTAGAGAAAAGCCGAGAATTTCAAAGTTTTGTAATGATGTTGTGAAACACATATTTTTGGGCGCTTACATTGCTAACGCTGGCTGAACGTTACGAGATAGATCAAAATAATGTTCTACGGAATGGTACACCTTAAAGAAGTCTATAGAAAAGTTCGCGATGGTATATATCTATTCCCTAAAGACAGCCCACAGTAACCATTTTTATCTTTTGCACATTACTAAATAATAAAGGGTTTATACGAAGCTATTTTAAATAATACAATATTAATCCTTATCCAATTAAATAAATTTAGATACGTTGTGTATTCAATGTAGATCAAAATTTCCCTTTACAGCATATCATTAAAATAAATATTTTAGAAGATATCCCAGAATACTTTCTTAGATTTACGCGTATATTTGACATTTTAAATAAAACTATCTTTTAGGATTATTTCGCGGATTTATTTTGATTTTCGGTTCCCGACGTTTCGAATGCTTTACAGCAATCATGGCCACGGGAGGGACTGAGATGTTAGATGTCTCGAAGGTATAGTTGTTACAGACAGCCTACCCACAAATAACAAAATGAAAAATTGCACCAAGTACCTTACAATATTTTATAACTTTAAACATTTCTTTAAATTTTAATTAGTTTTATAATTGAATATGGAATATTATTTATTTAATTTTTGCTGTTATTATTATAATTATTACAATTAAAAAGATATTAATTAGAAATCTATATTTAGTGTTGCCATTATTATATTTATAACCATAAAGAAAAAATATAAAATATAATAATTATTATTTAAGCCACATAATTGTTCTATGTGTAATTTAAAAAGTTAAAATTAATTAAGAATAATAATTTTAATTTAGTTTGCTATTTATTTAAAAAGACAATTTCCTAAGCAACACTATTACTATATACTTTTACAAATGAAAAATGAAAAATATGAATCTGAAATGCTATCATTTTGATCCACACAGTAAGAAGTTACTACATCTACCTGTCTGTTATGTTTAGATTTATTATTTGATTTTATTATATTAATAACAGGATCCTATGACGATGGTAGTACCCAGCCATCTTCCCTATTGAAATTTGTATGTTTTTTAATATCTATGGCTTCTCGAATCATTCTAGGGCGATATCGGTTTATTTAGGTTAATAAATCAATTTAATGGCATTTACTCAAATCTTTAGTAAAATAAAAAATAACAATTTAATCCATTTTGCTGATAGTTTTAATTTCATAAAGATGGATCACTATCTAATCGCAACGGTTAAAGTTTTATTTGGCAGTTAGCCACATGTAAAGTAGTTAGTGAGCGCATGCTAGCGATGAAGGCAATTTGCCTGAGGTCTAGACACTGCGATCGTATCGTTTAGATAACTCTTTGTACGTATTAGAGCCTGCAGTTAGCGGCTTATCTTCGTCGTTACAGTCGAAATGTGCACCGACGCGATGGTTCTTCACTTTATGACTGGGAGACGATGTCTTTCGTCGTTTATCACACCAACTTTACTGATCAGCATTAAATATATTGCATTTGGGGCATAATTTAAATGATGTTTCATTATATTAAATTTTCTAAATAAAATATGCTTAATCTCCTGACACGGTAAAAGAAAGGAGCGTGGGAAGGCCGACAATAAAATAGTATCAGGTCTTATTGTCATACGCTCACGAACTCGTATCGGGAATGGAACGCCAGAGTATCGACTTGCTTTGAAGCCGCATTAACTGCGTGTATTGTTATTTTAATTATATTAACTAATTATTTTGTTGCTCAAGAATTTTATTATTCTTAGTTGATATTGTATACAATGTAAAAAAGTATTCTAACAAGCTATTCTTTTTTGTTGTTGAAAAACGCTCATATTGCATTGAAGATAAATGTAGAACAAAAAACTGTAATAATAGATTATCATAGCATTAACCACTGAAGCACATGCAATCTGAAAAGTGGTATGTTAAGTCGTCATTGCATTCGTTCATTATTTAATATTAATGTGATGTTTTAAATACGTTTTCATAAATTGTATTGATTTATGACATTAAATTATATTATATTTTATTTATTTATTAAATTAAAAAAATAAAATAAAATAAAAATAAAATCAATATGATGTAGCTTTGGCAGCAGCATCGTTGACAGCTATTATAATATTAAAACTCTTCAGTGGAAGTCGCATACATTGTACTGTAATTTGTTGTATAGCATGAGTATTGAGTATAAAGGAGCAGAGCGGCATAAAGCGTATATCTGCTAATTTATCGGCGTATTTTAATTGAGTACGTCCCGACATTCGGCGCGGCGGTGTCAGCGCATTCAATGTAAATGCGATCCAGAAGTAATGGCTTTGCTGGCAATCGACTCGGCGCCTGCGCATCCCGCCCGCGCCGGAACTCCATGCCGGAGCCCCGCGTCGGAGCCCCGCGCCGGAGCCCGCGCCGGAGCCCCGCGCCGCCTGTAATCAATGCTAATTCTGCATATGCGGTGTACAGCTAAAGTGTGATAGAACCCACTAATTGGCATTTTTAACGTGAGTTACCGAACAGCCCAAATGATTGATGTACGACTCGCACGAACCTATTAGGTGAAATAGCAATTAATACCGTTGTTGATAGTCGTCTTTATTGACTCTGCATGTTCGCACCACACGAAATACACTTGGCACATTTTTATTATTCCATGCTATAATAACAGTGCATTTCAATAAAAATACAGATATTATCTAGTAATCTTGTAATAATTCAGTCGAATAACCTGTCTCTATTAAAATAAAAATAAAATTAAAAAGTAGAGGTAATGTTAGAAATATCTGCGCAAGAGCAAAAACTAAACGGATAGGAGGCAATTTACATAAAGAATTCCTTTAGCAGCGTGACTAATAAGTCCTCCCGGCGACGTCTGCACACGCGGCGTCCGCGACGTTACATTTATTCATTTCGTCATGACGGGTTCAGTAGCCGCGCGTCGAGTTTTTGCGCCGGCGAAAAAATTACAAGTGAGAGACGCGTGCGGCGGGAGGGACATAAATCTTCAGTAAAAAGCTAATTTTTTGCGATTTCTTGTTACCATACGTTTTTGTGGGTAGTTTTGTCTCGATGCGGCGAGTTTTTGTCGGACAATGGTCGCGATAGTGATTGCGCGGGCGCAGTACGTATTTGCATGCGGCGGCCAATCGGCTCGCGGCCACGCCTCACTCTCCTCCTCTTCGTTACACTCGTTACGATGACAACCCGAGCCATTGTTCTACTCATCTCCTATCATATGTATCATGCCCTGGTGGCTGATGCTGCATGCACCGCGCGTCTCCGCGAGCGACCGCTTTGTGACGCCTTGTACTCAGCCTTGTCTAGTTCGGATATTGCCCTTCGGTTTAAATATAAATTGAATTTATTACATTAACTTCACTATGGCACGCCAAATAAATATTTATTTATTGATTTAGTTTAGTTTAAGTACTTTTATGTTTTAGATGTTCTTTAAGAGGCAACTTTTACATATACAGATAAATAAAATTGAAGTGTCTGTTGTAATGTCAAAATAATAGCGTGTTACTATATGCATATGAAATTTTATATACGGTTAGGCTGATTTTGACGAGACTTTTACTGGAAGATAGGCGATATTATAGAGAGTAACATAGGCTACTTTTATTTTACAAAAAGAATAAGGGTTCCGCTCAGAAAAAATTAAAACGTACTTAGGGACGAGTTTCCAATAAGTAAAATTTCAAAAATTTTGTTCAATAAATAGACAAATAGACAAATTACATGTAAAAATTTACAAAATTTGAACGTCAAATAGTTCTATTATAATAATGATTTCATTAAATTCTTATGAATAGATTTTTTGATGATCAAAATTACAATTTTAAAAACACATTTTCGCCACTATATCTACATACACTGTCGAGGGGCTTATAAAGAAACTTGCTCAGGTTCTTACTTCATAGCTTTGTTTCTTATTATGAATATCAACTATGTCGAGCAAATCGGACCCACAATCTTATTCATACATAAATTATTTTTATTGCTATTGTTCTATTTATTAAACAATAATACAACTTACAAAGTATGACAATAAGACCTCTTTGTGACGCAAATTGGACGAAATATAATAGGTATAATATTTGCTCGTAAGTCCTCATGATTGTATGGAATTAATTGCACCTGGAAAGTTGCTAGGATATTTTACTCTTAGTCTTCATTTCTTAATTGTCATAGTTTTTAATTGTATATATTGAATTCGAATTTAATATCGTTTACTATTTTCATTGCAATAAACAAATCCTGGATCTGTATAATTAAATATTAAAAGAAATTCAATTTTATGAACTCCACATTTGAACGTATTGTATAAGTAAGTACCTACTGAAAAAACCTATCGGAGTAAAACAATTTCAATACCTACCATTCAATTATTTTAAAGTATGGAAATCTGTAATAATTACCTCTGAGCAGATACTTAGGTATTCTTTGTCGTTGATCGTCTCGAGAATAATTCTAGTTGTATAGTAGGCAATACCTACCTATAGGCAAGTAAAAAGCTTAAGTAAAAAACTAAAATTTTATTTCCTAACAGAAGTAAATTTAAAATGGAACATGTTTTTGTCATTTTTTATTTTAAATGAAAATCTTATAAAATGTATCAAGTGCGTCGAAGATGTTAAACATTCCTCAATTTAAGCTAGTCAGATAAAGTTCCTCAATTTTTTATCTAATAATGACAAAATTCAGCGCTAAATACAGAGACAAAAAGCTAACTATGTCAAAGTAATCATTTAATATATATTAATTATCTTAAATTGTAACGGAAATAAAAAAAACAGAAGCAGGCAAATCAAGGACCAGCCAGGCATTGACACTCGACTGTTGGCCGCTACAAAGTTAGTTGAGATTGAACTTGTTTATATTTTGTGAATATCACATTAATCTCAGTCAATTTCCTGTTCCCTTTAAATAAAAGGGCTTAGAAGTAAACATCCATCCATCACATTACACAGGGTCACCTAGAGACGGCTCATAAACATATTGTATGACACTCCACCCCCTTCAGTCTCATATTTCACTATAGAAGGGATAGTTTCGTTCACAATCTCATCCCTTGCTTGGGCAATATGGTGTGTTTGTTGAAGTAGTCGCGTGCGTCGCTCTACCGTTGACAGAAATTAAACTGCGTACCTATTGAGTGGACATGCGGGCGCCAGGGCTGCTGCATTCTTGATCATTCTTTTCTTTTTAATTTCCGTTGTATATTATCTTATATTTTAGATTATCTTATATGGTTTTGATGTACAAAAAACATAGATATATAAAGGAAAACTTGTAACTGTTGTAATGCAATGCAATTTTAAATGCCAGACGGTTGAATTCAAAAAATATTTTAATTAAAGAATAATTTAATTAATATCGCTGTAAAAAAATAATTCGCTTCACTTACCAAATTAATAGAGTATAGTTCATACATTAATCTTAAAAGCTAAATTGTTATTCCACTTTATTGTGTGCTCTTAAATTCAACAATATAATAATGCTTCAACGGGATCTTTACTAGTGTGTCCAGCATACAAGCAAGAACATACCTATGCTTGTATTTAAGAGCCCGAGAAAGAAAAAACATAAGAGTAAACTTAATCGATTTTAATCGGGTTTTTACTGCTAAATCTTCCATTTGGTCAAAAGTAACATCGCGAACTGCATATCCTTCCATTAATAAAGAATTTATTATGAGTTTTTTGGCACTGAAAATTTTAACTACAAATTTATGCTTCTAATATCATGTCTAAATAAATAAATTATGCTAGAATAAAAAACCATCTTGCACAACCCTGTTTCACACATTTAACAGGATAAATAACCTAAGCGTTTCCTAATTGACCGCCACCCGTCGTCCTTCGCCCTCTCACCCTCTCCCCTGTCGCCCGCACGTTATTGTTTTTTTATTAATATACTACTTATCTAAATCGAATCTAGAATTAATAAATTTGTTTAATTTGATCTAAAGTAGGTATGGCTGTTGTACTTTAAACTTTTTATTTTAGAAATATCTGTTATTATGACGAAGTATATTTATAAGGTAACGCGACTATTTTAAAGACGCAGTGAAGCTTGAGAAGTTTTGTAGTATTCGTACAAAAAAATGATAGTGCGATGTTTTACTATTAGAAGGCGCGATTAAATTATTATTGTAACGGTTTGTAACAATTGAGATAATCTGCGTGGAGTGTTCTTGTGTATTTGTAAAAAAGGAGTCGAAATTGTTCAGATTTCTTCCATTTTACAAATTGTTGTTTAAGCAATTTCCACCTTCACATCAAAAGTCCTAGTTTTGAACGATGTTAATATAGTTTGAGACTATCAGTTTGAAGATGTATTCATGTATAGGTACCTATTGATATATGACTGTATCTCGCGCAAGCTCAAGGTGTGATAATAAAATAAAACCCTTAATAATGAAGTGTGAAGGGAGTGTAATGTGGACATTAGTTCTGCGCCGCGCATTTGTCAGGCGACGTGTGCGATGCTCGCGTCGCATCGCGACGCAACTTAGGCCGGGTTTTCATCGTTTTTATAATTAAATCTACAACTACAACCCAAATAATGTTTAGTAAATTTGATTCTAAAGGAAGAAAAAATGTGGCATGAAAGTCAAATAGACTACTTTATATTCTGCCACATCGAGGAGATCCCATGCAATTTTCATCTAATTTACTAAAAGAAGGGCTTGTAGTTAACATGTGCAAACCAGGACCGAATCTTTCTGATGATCGATGTTAGTCATTTAGATAAAGAAATTTATAGGTAGGTAGGTACCAACATATACCTTATCTGGGCACTCAGAAAAAACAGTGCAATTTCCTAAAATATCTCAAGTCAGGTATATATGTAGAGTAGACAATATTAACTTAACGAATCGAAAACAGACATTCATTTACTAATTAATTAAATAATTATCTTTCTTATATTATAAATGTGAAAGTTTAGATAGATATTTTGATGTTTAGATGATTGTTCTTCAATCACACCGGAACAGCTGAACGGATCTGGATGAAATTTGGCACAGAGATAGATTATAGTCTGGAATGGCACATGGGCTACTTTTTATCCCGGAAAAATGTACGGTTTCCGTGGGATAGATTTGTTTTTGTTTTTCTAGAGGTGAACCCGAGCAAAGCGAAGGTGAGCCGCTAGTAGTTCTATAATTATTTAAGGGAAGATGAGAGGTACTAAATAACCACATAGTCTTTTAAAACTTTTTATTTAAACAATTTACTCTCTATGTTTTACTGCTATTAATTTCTTTAATATTGTACAATCTTTTATTTAGACCGAGACCTCGTTGCGTATCTTTTTATTTCTGATTTGATCGTCCGCGCGACATTTTGGGGCTATTTTTTCGGATTGTAATAGAGAGTGGGATTTTTATTATTATCATGGATCATCTCGACGGGGAACGGGAAAGTGTCGAATGTATTGTTCATCTTGCAAGATCAAGAGAAGAAAATCCAAATAATAACCGAAATTTTAAAAAGTTCAACAAATCAAGTAAATCATGTTCAAAGAATATGTTCTTATCAGTGATTTTGAATTTATTATTAGTGTACTAAAATACCAGTAATTTACCTTTACCGGAAGCATCTGAAAGACTTCAAAAAGAAAGAGGTATAATTACATATTTTAAAATGTTATTCAGTGTTTACGTTACGAGACAATTTTCGCCGGTTTCATCCTCGCAGTTTTTTTACTATAATAAGTAATATACTATTATAGGTTAGTTTTTTTAGTAGATTTAAAAGTCCTGTTCATTGATTGTGGTCCCAAATACATTTCAAAAAAAAAACTATCCCAAGGGCAGCATAACAAATGATTTCCAAGTTGGAGTACCTATTTTGTTAAGAAAAAAAATGGTTCAATATTAATACTTATTTTAGAGTAAACTAACATAGAGAAAAGACTAACTAACATCCATAGAGGAGGGACCTGACGTTTCATGGAGCGAGCAAAAATACCCGTGTATAACAAAATAATCAACTGCTGTTATTTTAAAATGACATTGCAATTTGCCTTATAAAGAGTAAATGACTAAAAACGAAAGATGTGCCGCATAACGTCGGCGCTCGGCAGACTGACCCGTATCGCTTGCCCCGCTTTTTATAATATAAAATGCAGTGCTAGAAATCGAGAAATCGCTCAATCTGTACTGAATCTCAGCAGGGCAATGGAAACATAGCCTTATACGTACAGACGACCACTCTTGACGCCTTATTTATCGATTAAAATCTTCGCAATACATTCCTCGCGTGCTTCCTTTGATATTAGCAGGTACTCATGGACATGGCGTGGCGCGGCGGGTTCCGGGGGTTCGATTATATCTGTTGCTGTGAAAAATGTTCACTATTCCATCAAGATATCACAACACGCAGTGCACTATTGGTGTCATTTACATTTACATTTTCATATTTTATTATTTACGTAAATATCATATAAATTCAATTTATTACCAGCGTTTCCCCGTCTGTTTATGGTACATGCCTTTTTAGTATGTTAGCTTAGTCACCTTCTAATACGACAAAGACACTGGGCTCTATCTCAGACAAACGTATGTAGTTATTTATTTTACTTTTATTAGGCAGTGGTAGCCCAGTGGTAACGCGCTCGCTTGGGAAACCGAGTGAAGCGGGTTCAAATCTCGGGTCTCGCACCTCTGATATTTTAATGTGCGAATCATTTCTAACATGATTACCACTTGTCTTACGGTGACGGAAAACATCGTGAGGAAACCTGCATGTCTGAGAGAACCTAGCATGTTTTCGAAAGACATGTGAAGTCCGTGAACTCACACTTGGCCAGCGTGGTGGACTATGGCCTGATCCCCCTCGTATTGAAGGGAGGCCCGAGCCCAGTAGTGGGACGTTAAAGAAAAAGGGCTGAATACATGAGATATGCTTACAAAAATAATATTTAGATGAAACCTTCAGAAGGATAGTTTCACATGTACCTACTACCTACCTACTAGTACAAAAGTAGTACAAGAACTCACCATGAAGTGATCCGTTTTTCCTTGTTTTTCTGTTATATCCATTTATACAAAATTTACAAAGAGACGGACGAATGAATAAAATTAAACTTACATATAATATGTAAACATATGTGTGTCGGTACCATGATACTTGTGTCATAAAAGTGGCTAGCTGTGGAACTTTCAGGAGATTTAAATAAAATGACTAACTTATCATTGTTGTAATAATATTACTGTACATCCCTAGTGCCATATGATAAGCGTAACGCTGCCGATATCCCAACTTTAGGCTTTAAATATTGCGAATTTCTAGAGTGAATTAAATGGTGGCACTCAATGTTTACGAATTTTAACGAAAAAGCGTTTAACGCAGCGACTATTTACAACGTAAATATAAAAGTTGTTAAATATATTTTATATTCTTCTTAAAAACCTTTTCAAAGATAACGCACTCATGTACAGTCTCAAATATTTTTCTTCACTGCAGTTTTTTTATTTTTTATTTCATTTATTTATCACATAATAGATTATTGCAAAGAAAAAGACAAAATAACATTAAAAAACCGTAACTATTCGTGCCGTCACGTTGTCACAATTACTGTATGTTAATAAATACAGTGTATTATTAATTATTAGTCTACCTATATTATATAAAAACTAAAATTTTAAATTTGTTTCATTAGGTATTCTTTTGGTGATATCGCATGCATGGAGTGCCATCCCAATTCATTATTTTTAGTAATTTGACTTAACCATCATCTAAGATTTCACATGAGACATCCAAGTTCCCTACTACCAAGTTAGTCATTAAGTAAAAAATCCCAAAAGTTTCCGAGTAAAATGGCTGTAATATACCTATGGATATACAGACATGATGAAATTATAAAGATTCCTATTTTGTCTATTGGCCACGGAACCCTAGAAATGTACCGCATTAAGTAATAGCTACGTCGCTCTGAAATATACTCGTACCTTCGAGATGATCTCAACAAATTAGATTAATATTTGCGGAGAAAAAATATATATTGGTCACGTAGAGCGTGCAGATGAAGTGAATAGCGACTGGTAGTTTTATAATAGTTTAGTTGCGGGTGCGCGGCGGCGGCGGAGCGCGGCGGCTGCCGGCTGATTGAAATGTCACGGCGCGGGCGCACGCTTGTCTGTGAAATCGCTAATGACTGCACCACTGCAGGGCTGCAGCTTTAGGGAACACAATATTTATCTCCTATATGACATCTGATGTATCTTATAATAAGTAGTTGAATTATAACTAACTGTATTAGTATGCGAAAAATGAATTTCTAAACTAATAGTATTACATCAACCTCTTTGAAATATTTGAAACTAGCGGCTCACCCTCGCTTCGTTAAGGTTCGCCTCTAGAAAAAAAAATCTATCGCACGGGAACGTTCCTACATTTTTCCGGGATAAAAAGTAGTCAATGTGTTATTCTAATGTATGAGCTATATTATTGTAAAGTTTCATCAAAATCCATCCAGTAGTTTTTGCGTGAAAGAGTAACAAACATACATACATTCTTACAAACTTTCGCGTTTATAATATTAGTAGGACTAGTAGGATGACATTTACAGATACTTATTACGATTTAAATTTATTGAATATATGATAAAAATTTCAGATGATCATTTTTTAACGTAAAAATGTCTAAAGGCATCGAAATTCCTAAGTAGCCTAAAGTCAATAATGTTTTATGTCAGATCGTTTAAAATACAGTAAAACCCAGTGTCTCGAAGTGTTTGCCGAGCCCTGCCCGCGCCGACGCCGCGCCCTCTCGCATTCGCGGGTCATTATAAAGCCATTTGCGCCGACAATTGTTTATGGACATTTGAATAATTTACATCGAAGCGACGCGTGTGACCACTTCTCCGCTCATACCCGTGATTGCGCCACTTCGCCTCGTGGAAGCAATCTCACGTTTGCAAATTAATTTCGCTACAATCAAACTTGTTACGGAATGTCATCAGTACGTTTACTTCTTGTTTTATGCAATCTGTTTGCGATATTATTTTATTTCCATTATAAGAAAAGGAATCGGTAATAACTAACACTGCAACTCAAATATATGTTGTTCGGTTTTGTATTTGTCAATATATACAGAATAAGTGAAAGTGTAATAAAAATATTTAGTCATATAATAACGTGATTACGAAACACAGTTTACCCATTAGCTATACACATGTACGGAAATGCTTTTTTAGAAAGAAAAAAATGTATTTGTAAAATCTAGTAATTAATTACGAGAAGGAGTATCTTACGCGCAGCGAGCGAGCACGTCATAACATAACACACAACAAAGGAGACAGTCAAGTATAGGGGGTTTTAAGAACTTTTTTAAACGTCTAACAAGGAGACAGACACAATTTGCGACAAGATCGTACTGAGTGTAGTAAAACACGTCAATGACTTTTATTACTTTAATCGCTATAATTCATAAAAAATGTCTTACAAACGGTTATAATTTTGACCAATAAATTACAGTAAAAATATAGGTATATTTTCTATAAAAATCTATTTAAGTTTTTTTATGGTATCTACGAGTAGTGACAAACGAGCAGACAGCCCACCTGATGGAAAGCGGTACCTGTCGCCCACAACACCTACGGTTCATGCACTTAGATTTTATGTTACAAAACTGCAGAACCGCAGGTGCGTTGTCACTGTGAGGACTGATATGCATCTTGCCTGTAATTGCGCTGGCTACCTTATCCTTCAAACCGGAACACAACAATGCAATCAGTGTTGCTTGGCGGGAGAAATAGATAAGGGGATGGTACCCATCCAGTCGGACTCCTCAGGCTTGACCGAGTCATACCACCGGTAAAAGTAATTTTAAAGTTGATTTACCAACTAAAATAATTATTTTATGGTTAAAAAAACGATATCATTATTGTTTGTATGCATGCATCATTTGAACTTATCATTTCGTATTTTTTTGGCATAGTTATTTTTATGTGACTTCTTCAAATTATATACATATATTATAACTGCCATAAACAAAGTCGAGAGCAGGAACTAGTGGTTTAATAAAGTTTTCAAATGCTCACATCTCAATTATATAATTCCCGAGAGTATATAACATCGGCGTAATGAAATTGTTAACTCGTACAGTACTTTACTGAGAAATTAAGTATATTGAAGAACGGCGCGCGCATCAATCAAGGAGGATGTTTGGCGAGAGCGCTCGCCACCATCGCATCGTAACATAATTTAACTTGGCCCGATGATAGCATCTCGGCCCGCGTCGTCGACCCTATTCCCTACTCACACGATACCATTCAATATTCCCATACTCTATTTAAATGGATATTTTACCCATATTTGTGTGCGGAATTTATTAGACTTTAAAAATGTTATTTGTCACAGGTCTCGATTCAAAGACACCATGTAAAGGCATAATCGTTGTGTGAACCGAATGGTTTACTTTTTTTATTGAAATCGTCGAAAAAGGATAATGTTCTAAAATTACAACTAAAAGAATTTAAAAAGTTAAGAGAATATTTAAAAAAAATTGGCTGTCCATTGAGATACGACTACCTCGTAGTCAAAATCAAAATACTGTTCTATTGAAAAGTCCATGTGCTTTTACAGTAAATAAATTATCGTTAATTCTAAATTGACATTTAACTTTTTGAGAATAGTTATTAGTAAAGCTATTGATATAAAAATACGTAGAAATTTTTAAGCTAAAGATGGACGAGATCGTCTTACCTGAAAAATCGTGATGAATATATTCCTTCCGGGTTTCCAGAATAGAGTCACGTTGAAGTAGACTCGAGTAATTCCGCACGGAGCTAAATTTATTAGAAAGCCAATCGCGCCCTTCTCAGCTCGCCAATTTACTAATCGTAACTCATCTGAGATAAGCGTAGCATTACGATGCGCCCGCGCCGCGCGGTCCGCCGTCCGGCCGGCGCGGGCGGCGAGGGCGGCGAGGGCGGCGCGGCGTGGCGGGCATTGTTGCGACGCGATTATCGATGGCCCGCCAAACTGCTCGTGCCATAATAACGAACCTACTCGTAGATCCGTTTAAGTAACATCGATGCGCGGCCGGTCATTGACCGCGGCTCACTGCGGCTGCTCACTGCCCAATGCCCATACACTCAGCACACTACAGTCTTCATCATATACCAACTTATTGTATATTTGCCTACAATGTACTTACCTGCTCCTATAGACCTGGACAAACGACCTATGTAAGAGTCATAAATCTTATATTATCTTTTAAAGTTTCATAACAATAATCTTTGCGGAATATAAGTGCGGAGTTATGTCAGAATCATAGTTTTAATTCTAAATAATTAATTTCCTATAGGCTGATATATTGCTAATCAAGTTGGAAAGCAAACCAATAAGCGCAACTTCAATTTATGACGAATTAGAATCGGAATGCGCAGGCGCATGTGTGTTCGGCGAAGTTATGATATAACGAGGTGTAACGCATTAACTGACTGTTAGTTTTGTGGGAACCAGCCACGTCACTCGATATAAGCGAACACAATTTCATTTCTATTATACAATTATTTTTTTATTTTACCAATTTGAAATTATTATGTAAAATTCTAGTAATATTTGATTTTTTTTGTATGAATAAATAAATACTTAAAAGTAGTACTTAATAGTGAAGACATGTTTGGCTCAGTTTGTAGTGACCCTACTTGCTGTGACAGTGGTCGCGAGTTCGAGTCCCGCTGGAGGCATTCATTTGTGTGATGAGCACGAATGCTTGTACACCAGTCATGGGTGTTTAAATTTATAATATGTATGTATTTAAAAGTTACATAAGTGTAGTGTATCAAATATCTGGTATCCATAACACAAGCCTCGTAGCTTACCATGAACTAGATGGTGCTGTGTGTTAATGTCCCGACATATTTATATTTATATATGTATAATATAATAAAACCAGTATTAAAGGTAAATTTATAAGATCGAAAGTCATATTTTAATTAAGCCTTCTCAACTTAACTGTCATACACAATAATAGGTACGTGTAATTACAACATTTTAACGACGACACAGGATATAAGTCTTTTGAAAGTAGTGAGTGACTCCACTACACAGTGAGTCCACTGAGCCGTTAGTGCCATCTACTAGGAGGAGCAAAAAGTAAATGATTTACAAAAACAAAGGCTAACCATCAGCCGCAGTTTGAGCAAGCGCCGATGTCTGCTACAGGTTCTCACGACGCACGGAGCCGGGGCTCTCGCCGACAATTGATCGTCCACCAATTAGGCAATTGTCCGCTTTACGCCACTTTACAGAACGCACCCGTCCCCATCCCGTGCCTGGGAACTGTTAATTGTTTATCATCTACTCTGCTAAGTGCCGTCGAGCGTCGCCAAATAATTGTCCTCGCTCATATAAAATATATCTTCCCACAGTTTTATTATAATGACTCGTTTAAGTTTCAAAGCACTGCACTGCATGCACAAAACTTGTCCGGACCCTAATGTTAATCAACCTGCATTTCTGCCTGCAGTTTGAATCCGACGTAAAAATATAATGTAAGATTAGTTACAAAACGTTTTTAAATAACCGGGTTGTTGCTTATAATTTTCTAAATCGTAGGGACTATGATTAATAGAGTAGGACCAAAAACCCACAAATCACGATTAAAAAACCGGAGCGCCGGCTCCGTACGCAAATTATTTAATTGTCGCTCGCCGGCCGCTCTATACTTAGGGGCCATAAATCTAGCGGAATCATGCGCGAATTATTCAAAGGCGCCGCGGCTCCGGACGAGACTCTATTCATCTTCTAAACAAATGTTAGGACATAGAATACAATTGGCGTAGCGCGTCCCTTTGTTGCGTAAGCAAGCGGAACTAGTTATTGTCGTCTCGTTGATTCATAGCGTCCGTTTGTCCTTCCTGCTCTCTGTCAGGTGATAGTGCTGCGGCGCACGCGCACAATCGCCCTGTATCTTGCCATCTGCGTGAAATATTCCACCTCCAGCACAATGCTCCGTTCGCTCGCAAGCTTCATTATTGCTGGCGCTCGCTTAATCCGATGTAATACGAATCAGATTGGCGCGATCGAGACGAAGACAAATCTCGGTGGAACAATAACGACCTACGGCCACGTAATTCACGCCACTGCGCTCATCATGCAAAGTGACCAAACTCTGCAGGAGATAGGTGAAATAAACTCCGTGAGAATTATTTAAGGTCGGGAATCCAATGCGAAATTTTTGAGTTACGTCGCGGGGGTGTACAGTATTTGCTATCGGAATTTGAATGCACGGTGCGGTGTGGTGCGGCGAGTGGTAGTGCGCGGGCGCTGGACAGATACGCATCGTCTTGTTAGCGATATCTGATGGTCGTTGCTGTAATTGGCACGGAGCGTGCGCGCCACCGCTACAGCTTTCATACACTGCGAATAAACGCTTTTATCAATTTTAAATATTCTATAGGGATCAATTTTAATACTACAGAGACTTAAATTAGCTTATCTAAATACGCTTGAACACTTCTGCCAATTGTACGTTTACAAGCTCTAGGCGAGTCATTCAACTTGGTTATTTGAGGCACATATTCATGTTCTGACATCTTAAATACTGAAGTTGAGCAAATATGAGAAACAATAATTCAATTTAAATGTATTGTACTTAAGAAAATAATTGGCATAAAGTCGTTTTAATAGTTGGTCTAATTTAACATCGCTTCATCCAATCACGCGAAGAATATACAATAACCATTCTGTTTAAGCATACATTTAATAAATATTAATGAAGTAAAAATTATCGCAAGGATGTTTCTGGAACACAGCTACGTCTTACTTATATCAGATGTATTAAAGTAGAATTTATTATTAAAGGCATTTTCATATTGAAACCTTAAATATGCAGTGTCGAATTGTCTCGCTTTGTTCGATGCTATCATACAGCGTGACGTATAAGGGGTGAAGCGCGTTAATGGCGCGAAGTGTCGCAGGATTTGCATACAATGAGGGCTGCGCCCGCGCTTCGACTGCTGCTTTGTAATTGTTCAAAAGTTGCTCTACTAGTTGCTACACATTCAAACATAGTATTCTCTATTCATATCTAAGAAAACCTACTACCAGGCTTCATGCGAGAGTGTCAGTTATTTTAAAGTTATCTAGAAAAGAGTTCTCTAGAAAAAGAGAGAAATCTATTTCAAGTTTATAAGAGAGTTCGAGGAAATTGAAACAATATTAAAATAGCCAGATTATAAAAATAAAAAGGAACATTATATTTTAGTCTAAATCAAACAAGTAAATACATATAACAAATTCAGAACCTTTCAGTATAATATATTCTTTACTTTAATTTACGCTTCTTATTGAAATTTCTAAACTATGATGGGGAAGTAAGAATATTTATTTAATTTAAATTATAAATGACGTCATGTCTTCGTGTGTTCTCTAAATATATTAAAACATCCTTTTATAGATTGAAGTAACAGTAACACAGTATCGGACACGCAAAATTCAAAGCATTCACATTGAAGACCTTGGCCCCGAATTAACATGCGCATAATCTTCAATCGTGCCCATTAACTGGTGCTGTCTCAGTTAATAAACAAAAATCATTGTCAAGAGCCATTTGAATCAAGCGGATGTCGGAAACATGGCGTTTGTAATTAGTCTGAGCAAAGTGGGAATTAAGAAAGGCGCCGCCAATTGTCCCGCGAATATCAATGAGAACCGACAGGCGGCGGCCGGCGCAGGCGCAGGCAGCGACGCGATGTGTCGCGTGAGAAGACATTCACGTGGACGTCGTTTATCTTGCTCATGATCGCTCCATGACCCACTTGTGAGACCCATTAATCTGTTCTGCTTTAGGAGCATGCTACTCACGCATGCTGATCTACGCTGTTACCTCTACCTTACACCAGTAGGTACACTACTGTTGAGTACATAACTCTTACTTTATAAATATTTTGATTGCTAGGTGAGTACTTATTGTATTATTTCAAGGTGGTCTTATTAATATATAAAACATTTATTTAAATTAACTTTTCTATTATTTACATACCGATACATTAAAAATATTATTATTGATAAATAAATTAGTGAGCTATTTAAATTACTTCTTGTAGATTTTATGGACACCATTTTCATCTCATTAAAGTTAATAACTCCAATTAGATTCTTCAATAAGATAGCTTTAAGGGCATCCTATTATTGGTAATATTAAAAGGTGGCGTGAGATATAATATGAACAATTTAAATAAAATGGGTTGAATTAAGCGATGAAGCTGGCGGACGGTAGACTAGCCGCAGGCGCGCCCGCACTGCCACTCCCGCGCACCTGCGCTGCGGCGCCGCGCACGCGCACCGCTTGCGCATTCAGCGGGTTCATGAGATAAGTTAAGTAATTTCACATACAGGAAGAAAGGAATGTGGGGCGTCTAATAAATTACATTTGTAACAAATAGGAAGCCCATAATATAAAGCTGTATAATCATTATAAATTTCTCTTAAATAGTAATTTCACAAGCTGTATAGTGTATAACCAGAACTTTGGAATAAAAATTAATAATACTTAAATTGAAATAATTATAATTGCTTTGCACTTTGCTATGAATTTTATTAATACAAGAGATTAGGTACGCTTAATTAGGTGACGATTGTGTTGGAACTTTGTTGATTATAGAGACGGGTAGATAATATATACAATCAAAAGATGTTTTCGTTCGATATCCATGTTTAAGAAATATATTCAATGAAAATATCAGTGAGTTTAGACTATCCAAATAGGTATATTTCCTAGCTTGAGTTCAATGTCATTACCATAAGATATATTTTTCATTTAACATTGTATTTTTAGAAAATAGTAACTAAATTACTGATTGGCTAGTGGAGGTAGTCAATGCAGAGATAGAATTTTATTTCGTATATGAATAAAGCATCTTTGAGAACTTTATGAATTTAGCAATATTCTATTTTTATGTTAAGTAAAAACTTAAAAACAAAGTGGTTTAAGTTGATGGCCGTGTATCATCATATAGACTTGGCGCGATGTCGACGTAGCCTGCGCTCGCGCATTAGTGCTCATTATCTACAATAAAACGCTTCCACATGCTTACAAGATACAAAGTAGATTTTGCGCAGAATTTGTGTCAAACAATAAATTATTACCTCACTTTAACTATTTATATATGTAATATCTTCAACTGCCTCGGTGGTGTAGTGGCTAGCATGTACGGCTGCACACCCGGAGGTCCTGGGTTCGAGTCCCGGGTCGGGCCAAGTTTAGTGATTGAGTCTTTCTATACAGTAAATCTCAGTAGCAGCCCGGAGTTGGGAAGTTGGCGGTGTTTCACCCCCGTGCCTCGGAGAGCACGTAAAGCCGTCGGTCCTGCGCCTTAACTCTTACCGGTCGTGTCGAGTGGTCGTCCCACCGGAGTATGAGAGTGATAGGAATAGAGAGTGCACTTGTGTCTGCGCGTACACCTGAGCACTATAATATCTCCTGCGCAGTTGGCTAATCTCAGTAAGATTGGCCGCCGTAGCCGGAATCGGCTAGGAGAACATCATCATTTTTGTCACTTTCTGTGAAAGTTGTTCTAAATTATGAAATATTACTATTAGCAATAAATAATAACCTTTACGCTCGTAGTTGCAATAATAATTAGAAAAAAATATTTATTTTACAGTATCATATTATAAACCCTCCTTCGCTCATGTTCAAACTCATTGACGGTTCCCAGGGAACCTGTGTGACCGGAATATAACAAAATGACGTTGATCTGATGCTTATGGAAGAAGTTCAAGACAACGAAATCATTTTTGTATTCATAACGTTAGTAAGGATATGCTAATAAACTATTAATTATGAAGTCTTAGTATTCTTCAGAACGACTGTTTATCGAGATCGCAGTGCGAGCGGCCGGCGCGGGCGCGGCGCGGCGGTGGGCGGCGGTTGGCGAGTGCATGACTCACACTTTGATTACACATTTATTTATTGCTGAATGACTTTTATTACTCTTACATGTAATTTCGAGATCATTTTTAATACCGCTAAAAGAATAATTGTTCGCAAATTAAATTTCAATAATGGCATGCATCAAGGAAGTGCATTAATTTGATAAACATTATTACATCTTGAAATCTCCACGAAACGGCTATTCAATTAAAACTGGTTGTTTATTCACGAGCAAGTTAATTATTTGGATGTAAATTTCATAATACGTTTTTGCAATTTCGGGTTAATAATTGTATCAACGCCGGCCGCGGCGAGTGGCGGGCGAATTGGCGCGGTGTGTGCGGGGTGTGTGCGGGGTGTGTGCGGGGTGGGTGCGGGGTGTGTGCGGGGTGGTCGCGGGGTGTGTGCGGGGTGTGTGCGGGGTGGGTGCGGGGTGTGTGCGGGGTGGTCGCGGGGTGTGTGCGGGGTGTGTGCGGGGTGGGTGCGGGGTGGGTGCGGGGTATATTTAAAAGGTGATAAAAGCGTGGAGTGGAACGCGACGGCGCGGGGCGCCTCGACTCGATTACTGACAGCCAAAGACAGCTTTTGAAATTGAAATGAGCAAATTTAATTATTCATAATTCGATGCCCTCTTTAACCTTTTAACTATCGGATGAGTGCACGTAAATTAAATTGCCCAGACAGATTAATTTTTTAATTACAACTTGCCACTTTGATGTACATATATATAATTTTTTACACAGTTTTATTAGTAAGATAATAGTACCACAGATCATATAATACTATACTAGGTAGTACACAGCCTGTGTGTACAAACGAAGAGAAAGATTTCCAATTTCCTACATCCCGTTTCTAAACCTATTGATGAGTTTGGTTCAAATTTATAGTTTAACTTTGAAACAACCACCTTATTTGACCAATACATTTACATACTCTAACCATCTCGCACGCTAAGCCACCGTGAACAAAGATTTATATCGTGTTACATTAAGTAGGTATCGCGCCGCGCGCACTGAGCGACTCCGACCTGTTAGTTTCAGAAAAGATACATTGCAAGCGTCTACGTTCATCGTTGGCCGCGAGACCAGACGCGATGCCATCCAACAGGGAAACTTTCCTAAATAAAACTCCAGTAAAAGAAACATTAAAAAGATAACGTCTTTTCACATAATTATTACCTACTAGCGGCTCACCCTCACTTCGCTCGGGTTCGCCTCTAGAAATCCACAAACAGATCTATCCCACGGCAACCGTTCATTTTTCCGGGATAAAAAGTAACGTATTGTTCAATCAAATTCGATCAACATGCCAAATTTTACTAAATTAGATGCATAAGTTGTTGTGTACTAAATATAAGTTACTATGGTTTTTTTTACTATCCCATGGGAACTCTTCAATTTTCCGGGATGAAAAGTATCTAAAATGTTGACCGGAGATATAAGGTACCACCATGCAAAATTTCATTTAAATCGGTCCAACAGTTTCGGAGATTAGCCCGTACAAACAGACAAACAGACAGAGAAACAAAAAATTGAAAAAAAAATGGATTTGTTTTATTTCTCTTCTCACATCCCCCTGACTCGGTTTTTAGCATTTTTTTTCTACGTACAGACATTCGACCTCTACAGTTTTATTATATGTATAGATTGTCATAGTGACTGACAAAATTAAATTATAAACACCTGCAATAAAATTATTGTAACTGATGAAAATTATATAAGGTCTACGCAGTAAGTGTACCACAGATTGTCAAAAAACTTATTAAAAAAACTTAAGTCAGTTCGAAACTTGGCAAGTGTTTCATAAATTTTTTAAGATTTTGTTTGTTAATGTACATTACTCAAGATCACATTACCTGGACACTCGCGGCATCTCCGATCTTCTGCCACCATATCACTCCTTCTGCAGTAAAAACGTAATCTAACTTCTTAGTTTTATTTTCATATAATAAGCCTTTATTAGTATTCATTAAATTCGTTTAAACTTGTACGAAATGAGGGAGGGAATAACTACGAGTAGGTTAAAAAGCCATCACAAACCAGGTACAGACTGAACTATCCGCTGATAAACTTCGTTGTAATGTGCACAATTTCCTTTTCAATCTTTTCAAGAAAAGGTAAAAGGCGAATAATAAAATAACAAAACAACACTTAAAAACAATAATAGATGTTATTTTATAACGATATAGTGCCATTATATTATATATTTTATTTTATATCATAATAGACAAAGTGGGTACATTTTATGACTGTTATATGATAATACATTAATGCTTAAAAAGATAAACTTCGCGTGATGTGACGTGATCTTTTCTCAGAAGACATTTCTCATAACGCTTTTACACTCGATTATTTGATTTGAACACGTGATTAAGCGTCACATGTGCATCTGATTAAAATGCGAGGAAAGTGGCTATCGCGTGGGAAGTATGTAGATGCGGCTATCGGCGCGACGCCGTCTCGCAGCGCGCCGGTGAAAGGCAGGGCTGCTCACTTTGCACCTCGAATATATAATCAATGAGCAACCTAATACGTGTTATAGAATACTATATTAATACTAGGAAGTCATAAAATTTGTATCTATTGGCTGGTGACGATTAGAGAAAAAAATATTTTTAAGGTACGCGATTTAATAGATCCGAATGTGTTAGTCTCTTGGTCAGCTATTGATGTGCTTAAAGTATAAGTGAGAAAAGTATTTAATGATTATGTAATAAAAATAAATAATAAATTACTCATCGATTCGGTCGTACACCTTCTCCTATATTAGGTAATCAAGGCTTATGAGAAGAGCAGCGTTTATCGCTCTTGATTTACGTTAGCAGTACGAGTATTGCATACGCTAGCGAAGAGGATATTATTAAAATAAAAATTAAGAGTGACTATTTATTCAAAGTCAAACCGAGTAGAAGAAGCCCTTGATGTAGGCAGTCGGGTAGCCCTACGTGTCCCGGGCGAGGTATCTCAGTCGCGTAGTATCTGAGATCACGGCGCATATTTCGGCGACACCGGCGCGTCTGATCGCCGTGTGATGTCGACACCGCGCGCCCGCTCGACTCGTGCGAACAACCGTTTACCCGAATACTGTCTTCAGCTTTGTTTTATGTACAGTTACGCCGGATTCTACTTGTAAGTTGTAAGACAGGATTTAAGTTATGTTCTTAGAAACTCATTTTGTGATATTTTGGCTTAATAACATATAAATCTTTTTATAAGTTTAACGTCCTACTGCTGGGCCCGGGCCTCCCTTCAGTATGAGGGGATCAGGCCAAAATCCAGCCTAGTGGTCCGAGTGAAGCGGGTTCAAATCCCGGGTCTCGCACCTCTGATATTTTCATGTGCGAATCACTTCTAACTTGATTACTACTTGCCTTACGGTGAAGGAAAACATCGTCAGGAATAGGACTACGGCCTGATCCCCTCGCATTGAAGGGAGATCCGTGCCCAGCAGTGGGACATTAAAAAGGGCTGAATACAAGTTTTATTACATGTGTTTAGGATCAGTTTATTATTGAGTACAATATCACACGCCAAGGTAACATGTTATAGAGAACAAGTTATTGTTAATTTACACATATTCAGAAGATTTTACTTTGTGTTCCTTATTACTATTATAAATTCGAAAGTCAGGCGGGTTTAAAACGAATACGCTCTGTAGTAATGGGTAAAACATTACTTACAAGTCCGTCAAAATAATAAAAGGTAACAGAACTAATTATGCTAATCTTGTCTTTAAGTACAATATAAATAAATCTTTCATGGAGAATATATTATGTCTACGTAATTACCTACATGAAATCAACACTTGAAAGTGAAATATGAATATTTTTAAGCAAGGCAAATTATTTTACATAGGAATATATTTTGTGCATGATGTAGCGTATGGGTTAGTTATATTTAGTATAAGCTACACTTCTAGGTGTAAAATTACACGTAAAATTATATAGTGTGTTATTATTTGTTATTGTTTTTGCTAGACTTTCAAAGACATTTGTAGGATTCCGATGGATTGCTAACATTCGCTTTTATTATAAAAGACTGGTATTCTAGTGAAGAGCTTGTAAAAGTTTACTTGAACACAATATATTTTGTAATTTGGTAGCAGCTTATATTTAGTATAAATCGGTAAGCTAATAGGTGAGCATCGGAGGCTCCCAACAAAGCAGAAGCTTGCATAATCGCGTTCAGATCAGTTGCTGGGACAGTGTCGATGTCGGGGGTGAGTTATGGCGGGCGTGTGATTTATCAGGGCTCTCCCGATCTGCCGATGGACCGATATAATATAATTAAGGCGGCCAGCACGAGGCACGAGCGCGAAATATTACCATACCACGATATCGGCGCATCGGCTCGCCGGGCTCGCGCGGCCTAGCGCGGCCCTGCGCGGGTCACGCACGATGATTTTGCGCTGCTTAAAATTAACAAGCTTCCATTTTACTTTATTACCCTTGAAACGAACTTCACCTACACTTGTGCAGCTTTTATACGCATGTATTATACGTGCAGCACGCTATACTTGTGTCGTGACTCCTGTCACATGATTACAGTTTGTATTTTTTATAAAATATATCGGGTTTTATACGCTGCAGCCTATATCTTTAAATTTCTATCATTATTTATTATAATTAATACATTAAAAATTTACGATAACTTTATGAATAAAAGAGGACTTTAATATTTCGGCTCCTACATTGTCAATCTATCTGCTTTCGTCACGCTACATATGCAGTTATGTATACGGAATATGATGTTTTTTAATGCTTTAGTAAATGAAGTACGAGAGCAAGTTTGGTCACAGAAACTTATTAGCATCTACGATTTATCGATAGCAAGTAATAATTTCGTAGTCGAGGTTTTGAGATATTACAAAAGTAATATTTCATGTGCTTGTACCTAGGTGCTAGCGTACCGGCCCCGGTCTAGCGCTGCCCGCGCGGGCAGAGCGCCCGCGCCGGAGAGACCCTGCGATCTCCGTGAGTGATAATGAGAATCATTTTATTATTATGATTATTTATTATGGTTTTAGGTCGGTTGCTATTTAATAAACTATTAGTGGATGCTGCGAGCCTCGGCGAGCGAGATCATTGTAGGCGCATTGTAAACTAAATATTTTGATTTTATACGAAAATCGAAATCAATGCTTGATAATAAAATAAATAAATAAACGTGCTTATATTAAAAATATAATGAAAAATATAAATGGAGAAACAAAAGAGAAGTAACGAATGTCCATGAGCATGACATAATTGCCAAATAGCATAATATACCTATAAAAAAATTATATAGGTATAACTAGTAGAACCCGCGGCTTCGCTCGAGCTAAAACTACAAAAAAAATCTCTAAAAAGGTAGTTTCATACAAAATTTCATCCCCTATTTAACTCCCTTATAGAATGAATTTCGAAAAATGCTAAAACACATATTTATTTTATTTTATTAAAGAGCATAAGTACCAAGTTTCAAGTAATTCTAATCATAAATATTTTTTTGGATCAATCTTCCGCGGTAAAAAGTAGCCTATGTCACTCTCTAGCCCTCCAACTATCTCCACACAAAAAACATGCCAATCCGTCGCTCCGTTTTGACTTGAAAGAACGACAAATAAACAAACACACTTTCACATTTATAATATTAGTATGGATAAGATTAACTCTAAGAAGCTCAGTCCAGCTAACGCGCTCGCTTGGGAAACCGAGTGAAGCGGGTTCAAATACCAGGTCTCGCACCTCTGATATTACTTACATGTGTGAATCATTTCGAACATGATTACCACTTATCTTACGGTGAAGGAAAACATCGTGAGGAAACCTGCATACCTATCTGAGAGAACCTAGCAAGTTTTCGAAAGACATCTAAAATTATATTGATGATTTAAACATATCTTAATATAAAAAGCTTGTCGAACACTAGCTTCAATTTATCAATGTTTTTCGTCGGCGTACTCGACTTAATATATCATTGCATTATGCGCAGAGCGATATCACAATGCGCCATAAAGCGCTCTACATAATGTACAGGCAATGTTGTCGCAAAAAACCGAATTCCTCATTAATATTCATAAAATGTTTGCATTTCGCAGCGGATATATCGAAAAACTATGTACTGGTCAATTGTATGAGTTTACATAAAAGAATCTCTGGAGCTTCTCTCTAAGTGATAGAGTCGAATTTGGTCGTCGTACCTGATCGATAGGTGGAGTAGGCAGAGATGCAGCACTTGTCATGCCGCGCGCGCGCCGCACACCTGCACCGCTCGTGACCAGAATAACGCTGTAAATGCGTATTGACAAACACTCGATTATTTGATATATTCATATTACTATTCATTATCGATTCTCACAAGATATCCATTGCGGAAGTAGGATTGGATATTTAAAATCATAATTAAGTTGAAACATGAAGCAAATTAGGTATAATATTTTAAAATATAAACAAGAAAAAAAAATGCTTTTAAATACTTTGTGTTTCGTACTAGCAACATTAACAGTTTTAATGTCAAAGAGTGGATTAAGAATTGTAATAAAATATAAAATCTACTTCATTAGTATCATGTTCAGTAGTGTCTTGTTGGAGAAAAGCGAATGAAGATAATGATAAAGATTCATTTTGACGTATATTAGTTTTGGAAAGTCATTAAAATTGAACTTTTCTTCTTGAAAGTATTAAAGTTTATATACCTAAAGTGCATCTATTGAAGTGCAGTATGCAGCAGCAATCTTAGTGAGTTGGTTTCATAATTTTCTTATGTTCTATTTACCTATGAGAAATAAGAAATTATAAAATATACAATCATTAATGTACCAATGAAAACACCAAGTTTGAGAGAAGTAATAAACTAAACCGTTGTTTTTCATTAGCAGTTCAATACTTTTTAATTAAGTAAAGTTTGTGAAACTCGAAAAAATACAATTACATGAAGTATTCAGTGTCAAATACTCGTAGATCAATTACCACCTTGAGTGAATTATTAATTTGTATGAGCTGCTTGCTGGGACGCATTCTCACAACGCATGGAATATCCCGGCGACACCTGCAAAGGCTCTATTTCAAACAGCGATTGGACAAGGCTCTAGCCATATTAGTATGAACAAGGGTATCGTCTCTGACCTTGAACCGCTCACACTCGCAATCCACCGTGCGCGTGGCGCTATACACGTTGCGTAAGCTGTAGGACAAATCAGCGATGAGCTTAAGAAAAATATTTTTTACTGCATTTTACGAATTTAAAGAAAAAATACCTCAGCTGAAGCCTGAAACCCATCCTTACCATTAACAAGAAAATTGATTATGTATATAATAATGGTTCTATAGTATAATATTCGTGGGGTAGGTTATTATTTACATCTACGAGTATACTATCCATACTAATATTATAAATGTGAAAGTGTGTTTGTTTGTTTTTTTGTCCTCCTTTCACGATAAACGGAGTGACCGATTGGCGTGATTTTGCGTGTGGAGATAGTTAGAGGGCTGGAGAGTGACAGGCTACTTTTTACCGCGGAAGATTATGTGATTCCCACGGGAAAACATTATTTGATTTTGAGTGTATACATATATAAAATACGAAGCCTGCGGTATGGACGGACACCTTTATCAGTTAGAGATGTCCTCGCTCTAGTCGCCACAAGCAACAGTCTAATTAATAAGCTACGCACCGATCATAGCTAGAATATACTTCGCAATCAGCTGCTTCACTTATCCTTAAAACAATTTTTGTAGTTAACAAAAACCATTATTATAATATTATATAATTTCAGTCTCGCCCCGCAATCACAGAATCTTGTTTGAAGCGATCCATGTATAAGTCATTTTTCTTAGTGATTTAACACTGATGACAAGTATCGATGACAAAACGTGTTTATAAGTAAGTAATTTATAGTTTTTCATTACGCAATCTGTTTTTATGTCCGCATTATTCTATATGTCTATTAATTTTATTATAATACTGTGTAAGAAACACTTTTAACTATGTGATCGGTATCTATAGTTGACAATTTATCAGAGAAGCATGTAAATCCGACATTAGAATGATAACCATCCATCAGCCCCGTGATTGATCGCCTTTCAACTCGCTGCTCGCTATTAATCATATTTTGTACTAATACCGCGCTTATATGTACAATTTACATTTATATTTATATTTTCTGTATGATAATGTGTTTGTAAATGGCGCAAGGAACAGTAATGATAATTTTGTGATGTGCGTCACTCGCTCGACATGTCTGACGTCCTGGTCGTACGACTATATTGCAGTGCAAAAAAAATTCCTTAGATATATATTTTATGATGCTTAAGTATATTATGAACATGATGTTTAGCAAAGTATTTTAAGGCCATTACAAAATACTTGCTGTCTTCAGCCTTCGTTTTACAAACGCTTTTGTTGGGGCGCGGGTGGAATGAAATATTGATTTTTTTTAAATACTTACCAAAGGTCAAATTGTTGATGAAATTAATTCAGCAATGCGAGCCCCGCACCGAGCGCACCGAGCACACCGCCCTCGGCGCCTTTGAAGCCGTGTGAAGTGCAGTTTAGCATAATATTAGTGCATACAGGCGGTAATGTTGAGTGCATGAACAACTGTTTATTTATATGCAAGCTATTGCCTAATTAGTCCCCTCAATTATTATAAAAACCATTTCGTTTCATTATAACTATAATATTATGAATACATGCATGTATTGTTTAGATTACATATTCCTTTTCTTTGAATAGTTAAATTAACGGAGACACAAATTCTGACCGGGCGCTGGTATACATATGCACATTATTTGCAAGAGGCTCACTTGTACGATCACATTTTTTGAAGCTAACGTTGTGAAGTATTCACTTAGATATTAAGACTTGTTCTATTAAACACATTAATAATATTTTTTCTTATACATATAATAATAATATAGCCTTTATTCAAACATATTTGTGTCACAATATTAATTAAAATAAAATAAAATTATGACTCTGGTGAATCAACATCGACAACGGTCTGTGTGCCGCCATTGGCAAAGGCCTCCTCCATATCTTTCCATTCTTTTCTGTCAAGTGCTGTCCTGGTCCATGTTTTCCCAGCTGCTGCTTTTATATCATTTTCCCACCTTAAGAACTGTCTCACACGTTTTCTTTTAGCGTTTCTGGGATACCAGAAAACCAAAGCTTGGTTCCATTTTTCAATGCCTCTTATTGTATGGCCAGTTCATCTCCACTTGAGTTTCCGAATCCTACATATTACATCGTCAACTTCTGTCTGTTTCCTGATTGTTTTGTTCCTTATTCTGTCGCTTTTCTTGATATTAAGCATGCTCCTCTCCATCGCTGTTTGGCAGGTCTTTATTTTTGCATGTTGTGTTTTGGTAAGGGCCTACGTTTGGCAGCCATAAGTGAGGGGTAGCAGCCATGAGCGGGTGGCACGCAAGTATTGTATAACTTTTTCTTAACAAACATTTTTGTTTTTTTGTTTGTTTTGTTTTAAATAAAAATTATATGTGTATTGGTTTATTTGTGTAGAAGGAAAGAACTTATTTCTAAGCTTGCTTAGAGTCATTAATATTGAATAAATTTAAAACATTGGAAACCGCATATAATTTTCCCATAAAAATATACAATCATATAATAATTCATTAGATAGTTGATGAGAGCCTCGAGGCCGAAATGGAAAAGTACAGCGACAATACTTTCTTAGATTTAGCTATATGTTCGTTTAGAATGTATTTACAGCAATCATGGTCACGGGAGAGACATTCAAAACGTCGGAAATCAAAAATCAAAATAAATCTGCGAAAAAATCCGAAAAGATACTTTTATTTAAAAAACAGCAACAATGTTATAGCTCGATATCGAAACAAAATTCCGATTTAATAACCAGATGTCCGATGTGCTTTACTGGTAGCGATTATACATGAAGATTACGGGCTATGATCGTCTATTACGAGGTCGGGAGTGCGCCCGCGCATCGCAAGTGCGCAGGTGTGCGGTTCCGAGAGCCGCTTCCTTCCCCGAAGCCCGCTCCATTGTAATGCGTGTAGGACCCGTGAATATGTACACAATCTATTATGATCACTATTGATTTATGAGTGATTTTTGTTCCGGTGACTAATGGCTAGTTCATTTTCATCGGCGTCCAAATGTAACCAACTTTAACGTGCGATATTATTTGCGTCGGAGTACCTATAATGGAGGATTGAAAAGTATTGGATAAGGCATAAGTCCTTATACACGTTAATCTAAATAAAATAGTTATTCATATGAAATTTCAGTCAAATTTCAGCCGAAGAATGAGAGAGACGCATTTGCCCCATTTATATATCCATATTTCAGCAGTCCCATTGCCTTTCTCTTGCATTGCTCTATGGCTGCTCGGCGTCGTTATAGTAGTGCAAGGTGGCGAGGGGTCCCACTGCAGGTCGCAGCTACGAGTCCTGCTCCGGACAATTTGACCTTGTTGGTAATAAAATTATTAATAAAGATGCAGCGCCATATATGTTTATTATATAGTACGTAGCTAAACTTGAACATATCATGTTTATAAACGTCCGCTCTCTACAGGTACATAATATGTATATACTTTTTTATAGTTTTCAAACATAAAACACTATCGCCTACTTCTCACTTTTCTAATAGCGTACATACAATTTCTATTGTAATTTTTAGAATTTTAATTTCAAGTGCAATAACGAGTCATCAAGCACTGATCTCATTTCATTGCATGCTGTGGTAAGAAAATATTTTTAAGAAAGTTTATAAAATCTTATTATATTATATACAACTTTATGCATGTTTTATACATTTATGATTTATCTACCTATCAACAAGTTTTCTAATAACAATCTCTACGTTTTAGCATAGAATTAGAATCATAATAATATAATGTTCCTAGTAATCTCGAGGAATGTATGTATGTATGTATGTATATGCTAAACGTATAGTTAGTTACCTTTAAATGTTCTGAGAATTGATTTTAAGTGCTACATTGTTAAGGTAGCCTTGACGTGTAACGGATTTTATTGACATTTTTACTTCCCAAGAATCGTTTTCAATGAATATGTTCTTTTTTACGACATAATCATGAATACATTTTTTAATTATATTACCAGTGACGAAATTGACAAATGCCTACTTCTTCTTCCAGCGTTTGTTTACTTTTCTCCAATGATCCAATCTCCATATATCCAATATGCCAATAGGCACCTATTCGTATCTAGCTATGAGTATTTATTATACATAATTGATTGAAATTGATATTTTAAATTATTAATTGATATATCGTTATCAAAAAAGTACGTCATGGTTAATAAAACCATATTATAATATAAAGTTCCGGGAAGGCGGCTCGTGACGACCATCCCAACACCTCATTACGCAGCCATAACTCACCAATTATCAGAACTGAGCTATCGGAGCCGTTTGTATGTTTGGAGCGTAGAGCTATTGAATAATTCGTTGACATGTGCACTACATTCAAAGTGTTTCCAATATAAATAACTTTACAACGATTATTTTATTAAAGAGCAAGATAATATTATAGTATTAATTATTAAGGAATGTCTTGTTATTGCTATCAGGAATGTACTATTCCTATCAAGAAACAGGGTATTTTTCTGTAACAAAAGGTTATAAAATAATTCATTTATTAATTTAATTAAAAGGGTATACCAACTTTACACTCACCTTAGTTCTAGTTATTTTTACGAGGGTTGCAATTTCCACTTGAATTAATATGGTCCCATCCTCGACAACAACAGTTTTCTTAAAAAGCACACAATCAGCTAAGATTTACAAAAATATACTCTGTTTTAATAACTCCCTTTGTCTTAAAATTATCAAATAAATTTTTTTGTTTAATTCAAATCCTTAATAAAATCAAGTAATTGTTGTTATATCTACATATAATTAAAAAGAATATATAAAATATTTTAATAGAGCGTAATTTAGCGAGCGCAAGCGCAGTTAACGAGCGCGGTTTATGGCGTTGCTGGCTGTCGTCAGTCTCAGTGATTCAAAACGTATGAAAATGTGTAATAAAATTTAGTGCATAATCAACAATGCAGTTGGTATCTCTTCAGATAAGTTTTAAATTTTAAGTGCAACCTGCCATGAATAATTGCTTGATAAGTGCCTTTACATGAACTCATCAAGTAATAAAAGATCTGTTTTCATTCAAAATTTTAAATACCTTGCGAAGTGTAATATGAGTTACTTCATTTCTTACTTTACAAAAACTTAAAAAGGCTGGAGAATGATCAAGTTCAACTTTCATTAAAGAAGCACTGTGCGGCTTCTCGTATAAATGTTGCTAGATTAATAATACAATATATTTTTAATAGGCCTTCGGAGTCGACTGCTAGGGTTGAACTCATCCAAGGTCGGGGGAAAGCGCGGGTCCCGTTAGCTGACCTTTCCACTGCCCTTCACCTTCGCCACGATAACCGCCAGCTTGCATAATGACGCCTCATAACGGATCCTCCATATTTTTTACTTGTTTATTCCGGTTCTTACAATTATGTATAAACAGAAAATACACTATTTTTAAGCATTAATTGGAGAAGGTTAATATAGGACAGCGGACATATTGTAATTTAAACTAATGAACCTTGTGAGTATTGTTAGCAGTCACATAAATTGAGATTTAAAAAATATTTTAGCCAATAAGGCGTCACCTGCCGGGCCGCACCGCCGTCCGCGCGGCTACCGCGTTTTCTAACGTGTAACACGCGTGAGATTCATGGATATCGTCCATTAAATATGATATGTCATATTTCATAATATTTGTCATAAATTATTATAATCTATCAATAATACAAAAATCGTTTTTATTATTGCACCTCATAAGGAGAGAAAAAGAAAGCAGGTCTCTAACTTGGGGATTTGACTTTGATCAGATACTACTAATTGTACTAACAGCGGTGACGCGACGCCTATAAAAATATGCCGCGTCAAAAGTCAACTTTTTGCAGTGAATATTTTTAGTTTAGCATATAAAATAATTTAATTCTTTCTTAGACGTGCCCAAATATTTAAAATCTTATTTAAATCTATCCTTACGGATTTTTGACGTTGAAAACGTTTTAAAAATTAACATACCTACGTGTACCAGCTCAGAAAAGTGGACCGTAACGAAATAGATTGTTTTAGGTTGCCATAGTAACCGTTGTTATTGTCTGAAAAATGTGAAATATACGATATTCTTTCCGTTGCTATCTTCAAAGATTAATATTTTTACTTATTTGTTTTAAAATATGCAAAATATTTATAACTAGCGGCTCCATATTTATAACTATAATCGTCTTTATCCATCCTTTCTATTAGGTGTAGCTCACGACTCACACGTGATAGCGCCGTGATTTTATAATATGTTCACAGAATTTATTCCGACCGACCGATTTAAATAAAAATACGTGTAATTTGGACAACATTTATAGGAAATAATAACCAGCAAATGTATAAAGAATATCTCGCTCCCCGTCGCTTCGCTCGGGTTCACCTCTAGAAAAGCACAAACACATATATTCCATGGGAACCATTCATTTTTCCGGGATAAAGAGTAACCTGTTGTTTGACCCGCAATATAAGGTATCAACATGCCAAATACTAAACTAGGTGCATAAGAAGTCGTGTAGGTAGGTACTAAGCTGTATAAGTTACTGTAGTTTTTTAACTATCCCACGGGGACTCTTTAATTTTCCGGGATAAAAAGGATCTAAAATGATGACAGGGATATAAAGTGCCACATGCAAAATTTAATTTTACAATGTTCAACAGTTTCGGAGATTAACCCGTACAAACAGACAAGCAGACAGAGAAACAAAAACTTTGAAAAAAAATGGATTTGTTCTACATATTTCTCTTCTTCCATTCCCCCGACTCGGATTTTAGCATTGTTTTTCTGTGTCCATTCGACCTCTACAGTTGTATTAAATTTATATATATTTTAATTTATATATATTTATATATAATTTATTATTATTATACGAATATAATGAACTGTTATCTTTACGTATTTTATGTGTATGAGATTTCAGAATTAGGCCTTTTTCAACCGAGTGAGCGTATTGAAGTGTAATTGAAAAAAAAATAAGGGTCTTCTTTGTAGAGTACAAGTCTAGCAAACTAAAAGCTTTTAATATGTGAAATTATATAATTCCTGATAACAAGTAGACGGGTTTTCAGGCTTGTACCAAATTGCTTTTATATTATTTTTCGTTTGTCTCTGATTTCGGTTTGTTCCTGTTTTTAACTCACTTTTCGGTTTATTAAGTAATACTAAGCGAAATTAACATGAAGTCGAACCTTTAAATGATTTTACATACCCTGTGTAACAAATATTAATTACGAGCTAAACCCGCGGCTTCGCTCGTGTTAAAATTACAAAAAAAACACCCTAAAAAGGTAGATTTCATACAAACTTTTATACCATTTATTTTACCCTATTATGGGAATCATAACACACTTTCACATTTATAATATTAGTATGGCTTTACCTACTTATAATCAATGAATGAAATGAAATGAGAGTAGTTTTAGTGGTTTTTGATCATAATGATATAAAATACGCAAAACACATTTCTTGAATTAATATTTTTTTTATTGTAAAGGTGAGTTAAGTAAGGTTAGGTTAAATTTTAAACTTATTTACATAACGTTAGGTTTTCAGTTTGATTTTCCGTAGGTATGTGGCAAATGTTTGTATTGATAATCCTTGTGTTATTGGTTTTATTTAAAGCAAGAGTGGCGTACCTCCTTCCGATTTGAGAAAATTACTTTAAGTGTAGATCTAATATTTCATTTATTTTAAAACGGAAGCAGTGAAGATTTAATATACGTACTTAAGTGTATAGATCTAGAGGAATTACGTTTCATCCACAAGTCCAAGTGGATACGCCACACGACGGAGCCATCAGCAAGTGTGATTTCCAACACCTAATCTAATGTATTTGAGAGTAGCTCTCTTGGACTCTCTCGACGACGCCACGGCGTGCCCGTGCTGTGTGCGGAGTGCCGAGTGTGCCGTGAAATATCAATAGTAGAGCGTCGGCCGAGCGGAAGCCTCGACTCTATCGAGCCACCCGCGCCCCGCAACTTCCCTCCCCGTCCCCCGCGGAACCCCCTCCGCCGGAATTTACAATGTAGCTCCCAATCCGCCTCACACTAACCCACCACCCGCAGACACTCATGCATGCGAAATTAGCACGTCTTCAGATGGCGTAAAGATGGAATTTCTCCAACACCGCCGTCGCTGTTCGTCGGTGTGCGTGAAATTTTCTCGCGTGGAAATTCTAATGCGCCGCGCGACTGCGATAAAAAATGACTAGCTCGGGAAACGTGAATACATTACGGAGAGAGACGGCGAGCATCGCTGCGGAGGCACCGCCTACTCTCTATGTAGTTTACACTCTATATTACCATTTCGACTGAAAAAGGGAGGCTATGTGCGAGTTGGACTATTTAATAAGTGTCTGCCTCGCCCCATCCGCCCGCGGACATACCCCGTGCTCAGCGGGAAGTTTGAAGAAAATTAGGAACCACCCTCTGAAATATGTTTTAAAGTTTTATAAAAGACCGTAATAAAATCGTTTTGTCGATAAGCATCGGAATATCTTTCAGTTAAATTACACGAGCCATTTAAATTACTTTAATGATTTTAAACGGTGACGCGGAATGCCAGCAGCTCGTCGTCCTTGCCGTACAAATAGCTTATTAATTATAACTAATCCTTTACAAATCCAATTAGATAAATAATGACGCGGGCACAATAGATATAAAATTAGATACGATAATCGGCGTGAGAATCTAATGTTTAATTTGTTCCGGAGGGCGGCGCAGCGCGGGAGGCTCATAATTGCGGTAAAAAGCTAAAACGTAACGCAGCGCGACAAAGAGCTGTTTTTTATGACCGTTCTTGTGTTTTCTAATGGTTCTTACGTCTAACGCCGCACCTGTGCGGCGCGCGCGGTGGCGGCCTTCATTGATAACATCGCCTGGGGGCGCAATGTAAACAAGTAAACAATGATATCCATTGACTTACATAATACAATACGTTAACGTTAATAGTACGAGTACTATATTCTACAGTTTTATGCTCGTTGTGGTATATATTATGAAAATTATTGGCAACCTATAATGATATTCAGTGACAAACGAGCAGACAGCCCACCTGATGGAAAGAGGTACATGACGCCCATAACACCTACGGTTCATGCAGGTGCGTTGTCACTGTGAGGACTAAGATGAAGTGCCTCTTGCCTGTAATTGCGCTGGCTACCTTATCCTTCCAACCGGAATACAATAATGTAATCAGTGTTGCTTGGCGGGAGAAGCAGATAAGGGGGTGGTCCTTCCAGTCGGGCTCCGCAGGCTTGACAGAGTCCTTCCACCGGTAAATTCACCTCTTGCATGGATTTAATGATTGTATTCGCCCCACAATTGTTTGTGGTATTCCGGCCAATCGCTATCAAATACAAAGTATTTCGTCATTCCAACAAAACTTGACGTTTCGCTAGGGTCATGTATCTATTTTCAATTGATAAAAAATAAGAAACCGCATATTCTCTAAGATAGTGATATTTTATTCATTTTTAGGGCTCCATACCTCAAAAGGAAAAAGGAACCCTTATAGGACTACTTCGTTGTCCGTCTGTCTATCTATCGAGAACCTTTTTCTCAGAAACGCGTCAAGTTGAAATTAATATCAAATACTCAGGTATCTAATCCGTTGAAGCTGTAAAAAATTAAACTTGTATGTCAACGCAATCAAAGGGAAATCAAAACCTATAGAGTACTTCTCGTTGACTTAGAACTATGGCAAGAAGCAATATCTATAATATGCAATAGCACAAGTAATAGCAAAAAATCTGAATACCGTAAATTTGTAAATCATCATCACAAAATAAAGCTAATATGTATAAACTTATTTTATTAACATTTCATGCTACACATAATACTACGCACACCCTCGGCCGGCGAGTCAGACTCGCGCATATTTTTTAAAATTTTAAATTTATTTTGATTCGATCGATTTCTTGAGTTGATCAATTTGCTATTTAACTATTTACATTTCTACTATTTTTCCAGCGTCGCAATGAGTCGAGGTCGTGGCTGCAGTACCCGGCGTCGCGCCTGCAGCGTCTGCTGCGCAGCGCTTGTCCGCCGCGCGCCACCTTGCGCCTGCGCACGTGTAAGTTATACTGCATTTACTATTTATATTATTGTCATAATTTCATTTATCTAGACAATTAACAAATTCTATAAAATATGATATAAATATTAATGAAGAAACTATATATAACAATGGAAAAATATTATATTATACCATATATATATATATATATATATATATATATATATATATAAGGATATAGGAGAAAAAAATATTTAAATAAGGCTGGCGACCCAAGATTATTCTAGATAGCGATAGTCCTATATCGACACTATAGATACTCGTACTGGAGGATGATGAGAATCGTGGATCTCAGTAGACTGAAATTTGATTAAAATATCACGAATTGTGAAGGCTAAGTGACAATCATATTACTAAGCGTGTTATGGAATATTTATTTATAATATTTAAATACAAAGTTTTACTTTTCCATGTAACGTCCTTGTATTATACACACATGGCACAGCTGAATGTTGTCCTCCGCGCAGGTGTCACTAGCCGCGATATTATTTGGCGACATCCTGCTTCAATGAGCTCCATGACCATCTGTACGGACGTGACACACAATCTAATGTTACAAATCAAATTGCTATTTTGAAACACTAGTAGTGACCCGTGGATGTGTTCACGTTCTCGTATATATGTTAAGCATTTTATGGTATTTTGAAGAAGCTTAATATTAATTGTATTCTATATAGACATATCATAAAAAAGTAACAAATCAAAATCAGTAGGTACATGAAATATTTAAAAAAATAATCACTGTTACGTATTGCGTAGGTATGGCACATAGACTCCAAAAGAATAGTTATTGAAATTATTGTCCTTTTGTCTATATGTCTGTATAAATGTTTAATTTTCACGGAAAAAGTACTGAACGGATTTAACTAAATTTTGTGTAGTTATAACTTATTAGTCGGATCAACATTTAGTGAACTTTTTACTACAGGAAAATGTTTCATTTCCACGGGAAAATACAATAACTGGTTCTGTCGAGTCGTGTTAACAAATTTACATGGCTAACTCTGGCTAAACCTTAACAGATACATCTAATCTATTTAAAACGCAGTCAGTAAGTCGCTAGTAACTGTCTTACTAATTACGCTAGTGAGTTTGTCAGCGATTATTATTGTGAAATGATGATATTTAACAATATTTTAATTATTTTAACCAATTTCTAAATAAAATGAAGTTCTATGTTCTTGTTATTTATTTTTCTTGGCGAAGGCTGTACCGATTTTGCGTATTTAAATTGTATTCTCTTAAGGTAAATCAGAAGTGATCCCATGTAATTTTCTGTGACATATCGTTGCCAACCGACGCAAGGCAACGTAAATTTATTTCGATATGTACAAATACAATATTACAAATTGATGTACACTGGTTTGCGTCAACTGACACCGACTTAGGCAAAAATTACTGATTTAGTTATTTCTTACATTGAAGTGCCTGGTTTAAGTAATTCTGATCATAAATATTTTTTTGAATTGTATTGTAAAGTGCTTCCCCTGGGAAAATTTACAGATCGCAATGTTAAGTTAAGGAGGTGTTTTTGATAACATATTTTTGTATGTGCAACTATAATTGAAGTATATAAGGTATAAAATTAATGGCGATAACAATATTAGATATTTATAAGTCTATCTCAATGATATCGAAAAATAATAACCAGTCGCCGCTTTGTTTATTTAAGATATCGACCTGATAGCTATTTTAGGTGTACTTAAAGACCGTTCTACGTTAAATCTGTTGGTCTCATTGCTTTAAAATGAGTCATAATTATCTCACTTGGATACAATTATACCTTAATATGTTGGTATAAAAATAAATTTACGCTGACTTGTCACCTTACGCGTGTGACAGTATAACTTATAACAAATCTAGATCGCTAATAAGGCAGTCATCATCGGCGCAGCGTAGGTCACAAATTTAGGCGCGTATATATAAATTTACAGATGTTTGTACATTGTACATTTATATATAAATACTTTAGCATATTCCCTCAAGTCCCGAACCTACCCTGCGAGCGGCACCGCCCCGCGCCCTGTCGCGACGCCTGCAAATGTAAATGCGCATTCCGAAGCTTACGTGTTCTGAGATAGCACTCAATAAATACGTCATTAGTCCTTAAAAGCCTACGCTCAGGACATCTGTGCCGCCGCTTCTCATACTACGACTGACTCAATTTGCCGTTTCTGTGACCAAATTACATATATATAAAGCTAATTTTCAATGAAGTGTATTTATTTTACCAATATTGATGATTTAGCATATCATTTGAAGTAATTTCTTATGGGATACGATCATTTGACTTAAATTTGAGCGTGACGATAGTGCATTGAGAGATAGTTGAGTGTTATAGAGTGCAACACTGGGGACAGTGGGGACAGTGGGGACAGTGGGGACAGTGGGGACAGTGGCAACCGCTCATTTCGCGTCTAAATGTCAATGTCGGTCGATGGTTCGCTTTAGCTTCGAGATGACTAATTAATGTTGTTTGCCAGATTATTAATAACGACCAGTCTGTAAAATAAATGGTTATTTCAGAATAAATACTAAAATAATTAGCTTTAGTAGAGCCAGACCACACATTTGAAGAGTGTGATTTTATTTGGTCAGTGAGTAATTTATTTAATATAACAATAATTTAATATATCGTCAAGGTCATAAGAAATGCAAAGTATGTTTGTAGGTTTGTGCTTCGTCACACTGACTTCTTTTTATTTTGGATCAAATAATTCTCATGGCATAATAGTGTTCTGCAAAATGTTACTGGAAGAGCGAAAGGTCTGTAAAATGGTACTAGAAGAAGGAAAAAGCGCTTGTTGTACCATTAAGCAGTGCTATTAAGCAATAAAGTTGAGATAAAAATTACTACAAGACCAAGATGTATACAGATAAAATACGTTCATTCGCGGAAAAGGCAGTGAGTGTGTGCACCCTCCGCCTATATTGAAACAGCATCTTGTGCAGCACTCTGCCTGAACTACATTACTATCGTCTAAATAAATAAAACGTATTTTCAAATGTGCAATAAATAGGCAGTGCACACCAGGTGTCACGTGTTCGTCATATCAAATACCATCGTATATATTGGGAGCCCACATCATCTCTACATTTTCGATAACTGATATTTTTATTTATTTATTTATTTCTATATTTGTGATTCGTATCAGTATATTGTCGAGAAGAGACGGTTTAATTACTAGCGACCGGTGACCGGGGACACCTTTGGAAAGGGTGCGGATGGGCCATTATACGATGTGTCCCCCGGCCCCGGCCGGGATCAAGGCCTCGCAAATACTGGACTAGTGATCCTTTGTAGGGATGTAGACCACGAGCTACACTGGAAGTGATCAAATAAATAGTATGATGTTCATTCTAACACTTGTGTGATTGAAATGATTATTAAGTTGTTATAGTTAACAATTTTAATATTAATTTTGGATACTTTTCTTGATGTCTAATTTATCTTTAAATGATTATTACTTATTTTTAAGTAAATATCCGCAAATAATACTAATATAGATAAATATTTAAATTGTATTTTTTTTAATATGGTATTTATCCCTAATATGTCGGTAAATGTTCTTTCAATCGACTCTATATCTACGTCAATTTCGGTTGTGCTATAAATCTGCATGCGCTGCGGGAGCGTGCCATACCGGCCTGTGGGGCGGCGGGCGGCAGGGTGCCCAGGTGCGGGGGTGGCAGATGTCGTGTGTGACGTCACCCGATCCTGACCCACATCTCATCTTTACATCCACAAAAACAAGTCTTATTACAACGAAATAAGAATAATCAAATGAGGTAACCGTTAATGAGGGAGAGCTGCGCGCGGTGGCGGTGCACGCGCGGGTCAATCTGCTCTTGACAAAGCTTTTGTTGGTTGTAGAGTCGTTGGTTTTAGTCGATCATCATCATTTACAAAAAGCACGAGTCTCTATACTATGCTCCATGCTCTTATATTAAATAAATAAATTGAATCATGAACTTTTTTTGACATATTATGTTTTTAATTTTAATTGTTATATTTATTATTATTTATAAGGAAGCTTGACCTTTAAGAAGAGTAAGGCGGGTCATGATTATGCTATACATTAAATTGAAAAAAAATCAGTGTTGAGTGTTAAGTTCAGTCTACAGTATGTCGTAGTTTTAATAACCTGTTTTCTTATTTTATCTTCCAGTGTAAAACTGTCCTAGAACTTAGGTTTTAAAAACGAATTATAGGAAAAAGGATTTCGATATATACCTACAAATGTAAATACTAATAGATTTATGGTTGTTCTTTTATAAGTTAGAACAAAGTAAACACTGCATAATTTGTAAATAATAACTTCTTCATTTAATTTTTTTCTCATTTATTTAATGCATACATTAACCACCTTATTCAAATATATATTCTTTTGAAATTAAGTAATAAATTTTTCAATTTGTGTCCTTTTTTTTAAACATGATGTTAACACTCTTGTTTTGTTAAGGGTTGAGTCTTAAGCGACACCTTGCCCGCCGTCACGTGGGCTCGACTGACGCGACGTTACTTGGTGACAATCTATTTGCCTTTAAACGGACAAAATATTAATTATACGCTATATGTGTTTTTTTTATTTACAACTCATTATCATTTTGTGGCCTTCGTGCGGCAGGTGCACGTTTGATTCCTGCAGGAGAAAAAAAAATCTATAGACTACACAGATACCTACGTATCTGATACTCATAGTCAAGGCCAAAGGCTGTGTCTCGATAAAGGCTGAAAGTCGAGAATAGAGTAAACAGTCGCTGTAGTTTTTACTTTTTATCTACATTCTATCTCCTGTCTAAAGCATGTACATATGTATTCAGCCATTTTTAACGTCCCACTGCTGGGCACGGGCCTTCCTTCAATAAGAAAGGGATCAGGCCATAGTCCACGTCGCTGGCCAAGTGCGGGTTGGCAAATTTCACATTGTTCCGAAAACTTGCTAGGTTCTCTCAGGCAAAAAAGCATGTACAATGTCAAAAAAGATTTCACTAATGCACAATTCACGTATAACATTTATTTAAATAACTCAGCGAATGGAATTATTTCAAGTGAATGAAATGCAAAGTACTATGTACTAATTACCACCAGATTGATCCGATACAGTCAGCAGGTACCTGCCTGATAGCTGATTTATATAAGAGTGCATACTTACTAGTAAACTACTGTAGCTTTGGCTTCTTCAGTTTTTTGCCCACTCCAAGAAATCACACTTCGTGGTTTTATACAGCACGTTTACTGAGAAAGTTCAGTGTGGTAAAAATATACTATATTGTTAATTTGTAATATTAATTGGGTCATAAGAGTAGCATTTGATTACAAAGATGACAATTTAATATTGAAAATATATTATTGTTTTAGAATATTCGTGCCTCCAGTTGTTTGTAAATTTGATGTTATCTCTACTTAAATAAACATATATCAAGCCAAATTCTCTACCTTATATTTGGGTATATTAGTAGCAACTTGTAATAGATAGATATGAAGTATTGTAGTTTCAGTATAACATAGGTTAATTATGTCATATTAAATCTTGTAATCTTTACTCCAGAGTAGATATGTCAAGAGGTAAAATAATAATAGTAATAAAAAATAGGTTTCAATAAGTATAGTAACATAGAGTAAGCATCTCATTCACGGACACCGCACCTATACCTACCTACGTGGTACGTCAAAAATATCAGCTAGATTAAAAAACAATATAATATTTATTCTATCAAATTATAAAGAAAACATTCACCTTGGGAACTTTGCTTGCGGTATTTTGTTAATCTTTGAAAATACCTACCAATTCGATAACAAAAGATCTTTATGCGTTATGCAAGTAGGTATGCTCTATTCGTTGCGTAAGGCTATATATAGGTTGTCTAAAATTTCGCAAGCATTCTCAAGAACGAAGCAATTGGACTACATTAAATGCAAAAGTTTGTTAAAATGCACCTATACCTATGTTATTCTTTACGCTCAAACGGCTGAACGGATTTGTATGGGCACAGATAGATTATGACCTCGAGTGACACAGGCTACTGCCAAGCAGCCAGGGTTGCATCGGAGCAGAGCGAGGGTAAGTCGCTAGTTATAAATAAATAAGGTATCTACGTGAACGAAGCTGCAGGTAAAAACTAGTGTTAAATAAAAATTGCAACGAATTACTCTCTAGGTGCTCTACTTTTTAAAAGGCAGTTTTACTTACTTTATTTCTTACTAGCGACTCATACTCGCTTCGCTCGGGTTCGTCCCTAGCTTCCTTCCCAATACAAACTTTCATCCCCATTTTCACCCCCTTAAGGGATGATTTCCGGGATAAAAAGTATCCTATGTCCTTTCTAGGATCTCAAACTATCTTCTTATTAAATTTCATCTAAATCGATTCAGTAGATCCAGAGATTACCCCCTACAACGTCACAATCTCACAAAACCACAAACTCACGAATTTTACCTCTTGATAATATTAGTATAGATTACTTACTCCCTAGATATTCTGAGGCATTTTGTTCCCGAATTGTTGGTAGATTTACGCTCCGCGGACTAAAAAGTATTAATAATTAATTATAATGTTTTACGGCAAAAACTTTATTTTTTTATAGAAAAAGCGAAGTAATTCACGATTTCATTTAAAAATAAAGAACATCAAGAGTTTTTTTGGATATTGTCCACAAAGTGAAATGTATAAAGGTAAATGTAAAAACTACCTTTTTATACTTACATACACATACATATAAAATAGGCTTTTGTCAAAGCCTATTCTTTTCTTAAAACCTGTGCATTTTACACGAAAGGTGTTCTTGCAGTCACGTCCTATTGATTTAAAAAAAAGTTCAAACACTATCATTAGTGTTGTAACGAATGTAAAAAACAGTGAGCCAAGGGAGAGCTTCTGTAATGAGCGTCATCTCCGAGCTACTCGCAAAAAAAGAAAACCAAAAGTTTGCTTAAAGCTTCCTTTGTGTACCTATTTCGTTGAGCGCTTAAAATTCTTTCCCTCTAACAACGTCCTTATTGTCTTTGATTGGAATGCCTATTGCTTGCTATATTTCAATTTGATACATATTCACCGCATTTTATTTGAGTTTAATATTATAAATCTAAGTTTTCGCTTTTATAGTTAAAATTAAAACAAAAATACAACTACTTGAAATGAATTTATGCTTAAAAGAGTTCAAAAGCCCCGCACAAGGAGATCATTTGTAAAGATTACGGCTATACAATGATTACCGAGAGCTTTTGTTCGATTTGACTATCGCTAGTAGCAGGTCAACGACCTGTGCCTACTTGCTTTGGGGATGTCAGGTGACAGACATACCGACTTACCTAATGATAAGCAATAATAATAAAAATATATTTGTACTATTGAGACTCCTCATTTAAATATTTTAATATTTTACTGTTAATAATAAAGTTACTCCAAGAAAGTTGTGCGTCACACGGAGTGGTGTGTCAGTGAGTTACTGAGGAGAGGACGGCAACATGGCTCTTGAGCGCGATATATTCGGCTCGTATGTAAAACAACTCGGAAAATCCATAACGGCCGCGGAAAACCCTTTTAATATACGCCACGTAAATAGAGGCGAGCGGGCGCGGCGTGCGGTGCGGGCGGCGCGGGACGCGGGGGCGGCGGCCAGCGGCGGCGGGCGGGCGCGGGGGGCGGGGGCGCGCGCTCATTGGCGGAGGAGGGCCCGCCCCCGCGCGCGCTCCGGAAAAAAACCTCGGAAAAAAGCGGTGAGCGCGCGGCAGTGCCTCACGGACGCGCTCGGTGGGCGGACGCTCGGCCGCTCGGAGAGACGGCGCGACCCACGACCGGCGGCCGCGGCCGCGCCATGCCCGCGCTGGCCCTGCGCGACCAGCCGCTCGACTGCTCCATGCGCCTGCGCGACGCGCCTGCCTGGCCGCCACCGCGCGCCCAGCGCCACCACGGTCAGTCTTCACCACCACCGCCCCGACCACCGCCTGACCGTCACCAGACCACACTCTGACCGCGCGCCACCACGCCGCAGTGTGACCGCTCTGCGCGCGCCTGTTGGTCTCCACAGATAAACCCTTTGCGTACTCGCAATATTCGCATTGAAAGCGTATTCGATGTGTCGCTGTAGGCCTACTCGGTGCGTCTGTGCAAAGTGTTTGTTAACTATTTATATTTGAAAATTGATGTATCACATTTATCACGCTATTTATCTCGACACGCAGCAAGTAAGTAACTTTAACTTTTATTTTTGGTGCGACTCCGAGCGGGAATTGCATCGCATTACTATTTACTGCTCTACATTTTTATATAAATATTAACCCTAATAAAAAACTGGTCATACGAGGGCCGGAATCCACTTGTTTATCCTTCAATAATATTCACATTCGTAACCCTTACCTTCTGTTGACACTGCGATATGTCAACAAGGCGGTAATCCTCGGCAGGTTGAAAGGGTTCCCCTCGATATTAACTCCATAGAGCTGCGAAACGATTCCTTTGACACGCCCCGAGAGGCCAAGGCGGTGCACTTCACCTCTTTATTGCGGCTCGGGGGGTGCTATTCAATTTACTCTAATAATATGAGCCGAGAATGCGATGGACTCGCGCTCGGCCGCTGATAGCGTCGTCCCTTGCCACCCTTCGTCTCTCGTGCCCTTCGCACGCACCACTATTGTCTGATAACCCTGTAAGAGTTTTTTCTTTGACAGATATCATATTAAGATTTAATGCTTTTAAAGCTCAAAGAGTTGTTTTATTGTCTCTGAGTATTTATTTTATTGAGTAAACTTAAATCTGCTTGTTGTAGTGATAACTCCTAAATGAAGTGCTAAGTTAGAAATCATTTTCATTGCTTCAGATGTATTACTGTACACATTTGGAAGTCCATCAAAATATCAGTTCTTATGACTCGTGTATTGCGGGTATATATTTAATGTCACGTAGCGGAATTTGGGCTTGTAATGCGATAATCTAGGAAACGAGTACTCTGATACAACAAATTGTGGCCAAGTGTCACACCATCATTATTTCTAAACAATAGCCGCATAACGAGATAATCAAAATACCATCAAATTATATTAAAATAATTCGTAGTTGCCGAAGCCGAGTCTCACCTCTTAATGACGTTGCGCCACTCTCATACGAAATTGTCCTTCTTTTTATAATAATCACTTTCTTTATATACTGAGTTTCCGTACTCTTTATATAATATTAAAAATGGGAAAGTAATTCTGTCTGTTAGTTTCATACTTAAACTTTTAACTCGAAAATTACTTTGGGCCTAAAAATTAGCGAACAAATGATTTTTTATTTATCTACATATTCCTTTAAGTTCATCTCTTTATTATATACTAGCGACTCACCCTCGCTTCGCTCAGGTTCGTCCCTAGGTTGTTTCACCATACAAACTTTACATCCCCATTTTCACCCCCTCAAGGAATGATTTCCGGAATAAAAATAAGTATATTCTTTCCAGGGGTCTCAAAGTAGTTTTTGAGTTTCTTCGTTACAAACATACAAAAAAACAAATCTTTGCTCTTTATAATAGTAGTGTTGTTAACCTATATAAAATAAAATGCAAAGCCACTTAGATATATGTAATCACAACATGCGTCACTTAAATATAATAACATAAGACAAAAAAAAAACAATAAACATTAAACTATATACCTTATACGCTACTGTTATAAGTTGTATATATTTATATATATTTTGTGATCGCCTCTAAAAAATCTTTATTTTAATACCCCACTCTATTAGTTTGAAATATTTTTTTAAGATACACAAATTGGGCCCTGAAATCCTCCATTTTAATTTACTATTTTTATAGTCTATGACACTCGTATTTATCAATACTAATCAAGACGTATGAATCATCAAAATCGGCTTACGCATTTGGTCTCTTAGAGTGCCAGAACGGAACGGAACAAACATACATATCTACAAACATAGGCTGATAAACACTTTACCCTCCTTTGCGTCGCGCAGTCGGGTAAAAAGAGTAGAGAGAGTCGGGCGGCATCGTTAGCGACGAACTACTTCAGTGGCTGTATAGTATATTATACCTATAGTATTTGACAAATTCGGCAGTGTTTGGAGTGAAGGTTGCGAGCGAGCGACCAGCGCGCTACATCGCGGCTCGGATTATTGGATCGCGGCCGGATTACACGTGCTAATTGATTTACGAATGTACAGATGTAAGCACGGCGCTTCACGGTATTCACTTTGTTCCTAATCCCTTGTGTTTGCTATCGTTTACAAATATCATAAAATTCTTTGTGTAATTAAGACCTAATAATACTTACAATTTAATTACGTCAAGTTCGTTGATATCTAACGCTTCTGGCGCCGCGACGGAGCCGTACGTTCTCTTTTTATTAACATTTCAAAATAATGATATGTTTTATGAAATATATTTAATTCATAGCCTTATTAAATGAAGAAAATTATAATTAAATATAACAATAATTAACTTGTTATTTAAAGTCCTAAGTATTATTGTTTAATATATTTTTTTCATTTAATACTTGTAAATATTCATGATATATTCAATCAACCGAGTTAGCTTTTTAATATAATGTTTGAAATTGATATACTTTGGTCTAGACTCTAGAGTCACGCTTGTATAAAGGCACGTACATACATACGTACATAGCGCGGGGATTTGCACGGTTTAAATATAAAGTATAATACATACGCTCTATTTAGTACGTGTTTTTGTTATTAGAAATAATACAAAATATTTTGTAATATGACAAAAGGAAATGATATTTGACATAAGCAAATTGGTTATTATTTGGAAGCGTTGCGTGCAGCGGTCAGTGGGACCGCGCTGAACTTTGCCACCGTCACGCCATCGCCGCCTCGCCAACCCGCGCCGCGCCGCTCTGCGCAGCGACACACAACACGCCAAATTACTATAATATTAAGAGAACTGGGCGCTTATTTAATATTAATTCTGAACTCAGTTACAATTGTGTGAATTGTTGAAAAGTTAAATTTCAAATTTTATGTGATCATATTTTCCACGTATCACTCTAAGCCTATGATATATGTACATATGTACATATGCACAAAAGCTGTCGATAGAATGTTAAATGAATTGTTTCAATTCAAAATGAGTAGAACCAAGGATAGCAAGTAGATGGTAATTATTTCGTGTAATTGAAATAATCTAATTATATTAGAAGCGTCTCATGTCTAACATTAATAGCTACGAGTATCTACGAGTAAGCACTGTGTCGGATTTGACTTCTGCGTTCATTAATTTTAATGAGTAAAAAAAATTAAATCTTTTTATTAAATTTACTGTTTAAGTATAGCACTCCTCGGGACCGCCGCGTACGTGTACATGTACCTAGGTATGTACATATTTATATTTGCTAGAATATCTGCAAATATCTATATTTGAAAAATAGTATAATATGTAAATAATATGTAAATTTAAAATATTTTTAATTTGGAATATACGTATATTTTGATACCGTACGACGATAGAAATAGTCTATGAATATATTATAATGTAAAACTTTCCATATTTAGCTATATATATTCTTTAAAGAAAAGATAAAATCTTTTAAGGTATATATGTTATGGGTCTCTGTTTACATATTTAAGATCTTTTTGTAAATATTGCCTGAAATAAATGATTAAGTTAAAATTAAACTAAAAGTGTCTCGGTATTTTTACAACGTATTATGACATGAAGATAACAAAAAGGAACATCGTAATATGCACGAGTACCTTTATAGATTACATTTACATAATACTCGTATGTACTACGTATGTAAACGAGGCTTAGACAATAAAAGATCGTTTTTATTTTCAATGCGTAATTAGTAATTACAATTTTATATATAACAGTGAACATATTTCATTGTGTTCTTATTTGTATACTATATATGATACGTACATTTTAGGGACAACAAATACAATTTTAATTAAAAGTCTAAAATAAATATGGTCACTTATTCACTCCACGTCGCACCCGGCCTGCACCTACTCGCAGCGGACTGCGCCAGAGGAACATTACAACAGAGTATTTTTTTATTTCCTCAGACAACAACAAGAGAACTAAATTAAAAGATACTGTATACGAAATATTTTCAAGGCACAAAAGTATTATTATAGCCTCGAATTTCTAAACCCAAATATACGAAATTCCTAAAATATAAATTTAAAATAATTCTGCATCATTATTTAGAATTTTGCAACATATACGAGTACCGCAGGCGCCTACGGTGATGCAAAACGAATGGAATTTAAACATTCCGCGCTAAATAACGGTTAATTTGTTTTAATGTTTATTCTTAGGTATATCTTCTATAAATGTAGAATTAGTTCAGTTAGAGTAGTGAGCCCTTGAGATGGAAAGATGGACCTGCGGGCCGGTCGCAGGCCAGCCCTGCCACCGCCACAAATGTCAACTAGGTACGGCCTTCGCTTGTATCATCCCACAGTCCACACCAATTACGATTTCATGTGCCGAGTATTTAGAATAATTGCTTCGACTACATTAGCATGCGCACTGCGCTCATTAAAATACCACCTCGGTATAAATTACATCGGTATGTATAATTTTTATTATCTTCCCGGGCGCGTTTCATTTTTATTTATGTTTGATTCTCATCCGACATATTGAAGCTCGTCATAATGAATTATGATATGATAAAATAGAAGGTTACGCTGGGAATCTTGAATTAAATTTACTTGCAAATTAAATTTTTCATTAGCATGATAAAAAGGAATATATTTTCAGTTTTTTTTATTATTATTATTTTAATTTCATGTGATTTTGTTTTTTGTAATTTTATGCGAACTGGTATTACCACGCTTTGGTATTTAACCAAACCCACATAAACGTGTGTATGGTCATTGGTCATCCTCACTACTAATAGTTACTCACATACACAAACGTACGCGTCGAACCTGTAGTCACCGGCTACGAAACAGTAGCAGGCACCTGGAGCACTCTGCTAGTCTTATAGTCGTATATTTAAGGTAATAAATATAAGGCAGTGGTAGCCCAGTGGTAACGCGCTTAATTGGGAAACCGAGTAAAGCGGGTTCA